ATCGTGAGGTGTATTTCATGAAATTACTATTCATTGCTGGAGGTTTATTTCATGAATGATCATAAGACTCCTTTTTTGCATTTGTCAGTGCTTTTCTGTAGAGTTTTGTAATATTTGTATGAGGCTCTATTTTGAGTGTTATTTGTCACATATCAAATATCATTTTTATAGAAAGTAATGAGTCCCTCATTGGTTTCAGACTGTCATTTAGGTAATTTAAGGGGCAGATGATCTGATTCCGTTCTTCCTCAGAGGAAAATGTCTTTCAACAAGGTTTATGTGAATATTTATAAGAAAATCTGCCAGAAAATTACAATCGTTAGTTTGTAATTGATTTAAGACACCCCAGTCTACCTCTAACAATGAATCATTCAGTTTTTATTCAATTATTTATTCACTTTAAACATTGGTACACTGGGTATTTGTATTATGTTATATTGGCAAGGTCGTGTAACTGATAATATATAATATAAAATGTTATAATAGAATGAGACTAGAAACCGGACCAGAATAATGTATAAAATTATAGGAATACTAATAGAACCTTGTAGGCCAATAGATTGTGACACTGTAAGTTGACATACTAACTGGAATTATGTTATCCATACCATGATATTCCATACCATTTAGTTATATAACAGATATTTGACCAGAGAACTGCATGCCCCTGCTTGTTTACTTACTGGAATTCATAGGCCCACAAGACACAGGGAACTAACACTGGCCAATTGACTACAAGTGACATTTTTCCTTGTATTGCATGTCATCGATTAATAGCAAGTTTACTGCACTGGCTGTACCCAATTGCATATCATTTTGTTGTGACAGATGCTCATCAGCATCATTGCAAAGAGATCGATCATTTATAGAAAATATTTCATCCAAGTATACTTCAGGTACCAGTATTACAGAATTTTGTGCAAAGAGAATACTTTGAAAGTATAAAGAGTGACCCCTTTCATTAGTCGTATCTTTTTTATCCTATCGTTATTCATATGAATAGTGAAATAAAAATGAATCACTTTTAAAACGAATCAAATATTAACATAACTCATTAACAAGTGATGAATTTATAACCTTACTTTTTACTCGACATTTTGTGTTGGTAATGGATGATGGTTGGAAAATCAGTTGCTTGCTATAATGTGAAACAATCCTTCTTGATAGGTCAATATATTTCATGAGGTTTTTTCATCTCATTGACCAAATGGAAAACAGCAGTGACAAAATATATTCTGATTAGATTCATTAGTTAACTTTTACTCACCGGTCCTAATTTCTCTGAAGCCCTTGCTTTCCATATTCTAATGTTCATTTCATCAGATCCACTAATAATGTATTTATTATCCAAAGTCCAATGTACACAAGTCAGCCTCTGCATTCTCTTGGTATGATAGATTTCCCGGGAATGTCCTTTTTCGGCAACAAATATCCTGATGGATTTGTCGTAACTGCCAGATACAAATTCTTTGCCAGTTGGAGCATAATCCACATAAGTTACAGCACCGACATGATCCATGTGAACATTTGTGGGTTGTTTCAGGTTACGAGTATCAAAAGTATAGAGACTGAAAAAAAAAAGTCAGCTTCGGTAGTTGCATATTTGAACTTGATCTCGTATATCTAAATAACAGGTCTTCACAACTAGAAAGCTAGACAGATTACTGCCTTTTTAGATTTACTTGAATTAAGTAAATTTATTAAAACAATAACCCATTCCTCTTCATTAAAACACTGACCCATCACTTGTTGGAGATGTATTACCATGAATACCATTGCATAATGAGTCAACTGGTTTCTCAGACTGTATTTTTGATAACACACTTGTACACTGGATCTAGATGTTGATCTAAATCTTTCTCAGTTGATAAAGCATAGAATCCCATATTTATAAAAGAGAATGACTCAATTATCGACTCACTTCATAAAAATACATGAATGAAATTATCGATGTGAAACATATTTTAGTTTTCTTGGAGTAGAAAGATAAGAGTGCAAAATGTGAATTTTTGTAGATCCTCTATTTTTTAAAGAAGTTAATTTTATAAATGTGTAATTTTCTGATTGTGATGATCAAACGATGCGGTAATATAATTGATTTTAAAAGAAAAATAGTATATTATATACCTAGGGTGAGAAGTGATCTATTATTTACCGAGCATTTTTATTTCCTGAGGCGCGTATCGCCGAGGGATATAATGTGCGAGGTAAATAATAGCATTCTCAGCCGAGGTATACATAGAATTTTTTTCACTACTAACATTGATACCTATATTAGCAATTTTGATTTTGACCTTAGTAATTTTCTAACAATTTGTTGAATATATCGAAATATCGAGTAGAGTGGAGCGTGTTTCTAATCAGACTGGCTTTATTTATGTAAAAATTTGGCATGTGTCAAATTTTGATATGAATCTAGGAAATATCCCATTGCATTTTTGATATATTTCAATGTTCCACTTCTCTCATCGCTTCTGGATGTTCAGAGCTTAAAATTTCTCAATTCTGCATTATAGTGAGAAAAAAATTTTCTTGATTATATGATAACCCAAGGCAGCTATGAATTGTTGCATGTCAAATTGAAACGTACAGTTTCTATGTTGAATACGCGATGTCGATGATAAGCGTGCAATATCGGAACATGATTGCATGAAAATGGTTATTTTAGTGAAACAGGAAGCTTTGAGAATATTATTTTTGGTAATTCATTGAAAAAGTAATACAAATCATGAAATTATGAAATAACAGAAGCTTATAATTTTGTGATAACATTTGAAATGGATGAATTAAGTTCCACAGTCTGGGAGGTTATTCTCATAACTTTGTAGGCCTTCTAGAACCCGTTATTTAGACTACGAAACCATTTATTCCTATTTGTTCCTACATCATTACATTGTTGTAGCCACATTTATAGGTTTGACTTCAGATTCGTAAACAAAAATGAGAATTTTTACTCAAAATAAAAACCAGTCAACCAGTTACGCTAACAGATCACCTATGAACTAACTTACTTGTAATCTTCGTTGGCAGATGTGAAAATGTATGGCTCCATAGGATTCCATGCCAATTTATTTGTCCTTAGCTTCATCACAATCTTTCTCAGGGGATGATTTTCTCTCATGTCATAAAGAATAATGCTTCTATCACTGGCACAAGTAGCAAGTATACTTGTTTCAACAGGATTAAACTCAATATCATGTAAACTATCCACACCCCACTCTATTTTTCGAATAGGTTCATTCCTGCTTTCTTCCCAGAGTTGGCACACCTCTCCAGCAGTTGCAAAAATAGGTTTTTTCCTGTGATGTGAAATACTAGTCAATACAGTCCTACTAAGAACAGTATTCGTTGGGGCTTCAACTTCACTGAATGTTGATGAAACAGCTTGCCACGTCTTTATTGTTTTGTCATCTCCAAGAGTGATAAAGTGATCTCCACTAGGTGTATACACAACCCCTCTGACTATCCCATCATGTGCTACGAAATTTCTAGTACAAATTTGTTGGGGAATATCCCAAATTCTAACTTCACCATCGAATGATCCACTGATCAATTCTGAGAGCTTTTTCGGATGTTTGGATATACAGGATACGCTATCTCTGTGGCCATCCAGGTTACCGATGAAAGGTTTGGCAAAAACTTTTTCGAGCTTAACAGCATTCAAAGCTCTTGTATATTCTCTGGCTGCTTCAAATGGATGTAGAGACGGGTCATAGTTTCTTTGAACTAAAAATATGATGAAATATGAAATACTGTATTAGAATTTGCCGTTGTTATTTTGAAAGATGTAGGTTCTTACCTTTGTGTAGATCATATTTAGTTTCTCGTAAGTATTCGTCTGGATTTCGGCTAATTACCTTAACCTTCATATTATCTGATGAGAAAACCCAAGTTTTCAATTTATTAAAATTGTGTTTTTTATGAAAACTCACTTCGCAACTTGTTTCATATATTTACATAGATTGGTTAATACATATTTATTATTTTCAACACAAATTAAACCTAACCCCACATTTTGACCATGGCTAACCTTACTCTTCTTCTCTTTTTTTCGTGTTGCTTGCGCAGAACCGAGACTAGACATCAGTTCTGTGTTTGTTTAGCTTAAGACTGTACTTCTTTGCCAGTTTTGGCAGATAACCCTTCTTCTCTTCTTGTCATCTCACCCGTCACGATACCCTAGAAGCCTGTAACAAACTAGTAAAATTTATTTTATTTAGTTCTTCTTCGTAAATGACCATCAATGGTCTTGGGACGAAAAGGATTTTGCGATGTTAAAGCAGATAGCACAACGAAAGAATATATCCTTTCTGCTCCAGAGTAACGGCGGAGCTATACACGAAACTATAATATTACCTAGGATTGTAGAACCCATCAGCGCACCCAGCAGGTGGAATATCAGGTTACAGCAGCCCGTATGCCCCCGACACGAATACAACAAATGTTTCAGAGAAATATTATTTCCACACTGAAAAATTATACGTATTCGCCTGAGTTGAATTGATGAGAGATATTTTTGTGGTACATGTGACAAAGTACCCTTGCAATTTTTTTTGTTGACAAGAGACGGAATGAAGCTGAATGTTCTTCTGATAGACTAAGTAGAAAACAGAAGCTCACTTCCGATTAGTATCTGTAGATCCTAGTGAAATTTTCCAAGATGCAACGAGTTACACCAGTCGAAGTCTAGTTTTAATGTAAACAGCGAAAACAAATTTGATTCGAACGATATTGCTTGACTGAAGAGATAGGAAGTTTGCCGGGAAATATACTATTGATGAAATTGGGAATGTGATATTCAAATTTCCAGAATGAGTTGAAATGAAGAAAACATTCTCCGGACGATTTCAATACTCCAGAGTTAATTACTCTATTCTATTCGTTTCTAGAAAATATAGTATATTGCAAGAATTTCCTTGTTTGCTAGGAGGAAGGGTGGAAAATACTAGTTCCAAACAAGTTGGTGAATTTGTTGAAAGTTTTTTCTCAAAATAGAATCATGCAATGGGAAGCTTCAATAACTTTGAAATCAAATTATCTAAAGAAACAATTCGTTCAGGCCAGTCTTCCCTTACCTACACAGTATGTTTATGGACTGACACCTATCAGAAAACAACTAATCCCCTGTCTTATACTATGAAGGGCGTTGGGTTATATTCAATAGGTGTCAGTACAGGATTCTTCACAGAAATAATTCCTGCATATGCTGCTGGCGATACAACTGCCGGAGTCGATTTTTCATCATTGGAACACACATGCAGATTGATTTCGGGCTATTTGTCCACTGGTCAGTGCAAGGTAGTGTTCATCATAATGGAATGTACTTGTTTTAGAACCATTATTCATTATAATTTAAAACGAATGTAAACAGGAAATGGGGTGTAAATAGAAATCTGTTCAACAACACAGTTTTCGAAAGTTTTCCCCTCCAAAACACAAGAACAGAGATGTAATTATCGGGGGATGTTCTAAGTTCTAACCCGTGCTTCAACTCGGATTGGTTTTGCATCGCCAATCATCGCTACTAAGACAGAGTTGCCACTTTCATGTGATATTCATTGTTGCTCAGTTGAACAACTGATAACAGATTTTTGCTATAATTTTTTCATTACATTATATATATAGGGAAACGGAAGGTAAAACGGACCCTGCAGGTAGAACGGACCAGACTTACAACTTTCAAACTATCGCCATCTACTATCGACTTGCGTCAACTTGACAGTCTCCTTTCACTCAGAGTTGGTCAGTGTCCTTGAAACGGCCGTGTAGCGGCACATGTTTTTAATAAACATGTGCCGCTACAAGTTAATTTTTACGTATTTTGATGTAAAAACAGCAAATTTTGATCTGCCTTCAGTTTTATTACGTTAAAGATATCAGGGATTTTGTATTATTATATGATATATTGTTTGTTTTACTTAGTTTTAACATTGAATAGACAAGATTCTCCTCAATCTTAACCTCAAAATAATTTATTGTTTACATGCCTACCGAAAAGGCAAAACGGAACAGGCCAAATGGACCACGTGGTTCGTTTTACCTTCAATGCAATTGGTTTGTGATTATATATTCATAATTTGATATTGAAAATAGGTATTTTCATTTTAGATGGTTAACAACTATAGAAGAAAGTCGGACCGACAATCTTGGCGTAAGGAGGACATGAAAAATGCCATCTAAAATGTAGCTTCGCACAAAAATGGGGCTTAACAAAGCGGCCGACACATTTAATGTTCCAAAGACTACATTAATACGAAGACTTACCAAATATGAAAGCACCAAAGACTTAACTGTAGCTACGGAAAAGAAAATGGTCAGGTATGAAAAGATTTTCAATGTTGAACAAGAGAGAGAACTAGCATCCTATGTCAAAAAAATGGAAAATCGCTTTTTTGGTTCAACCACAAAGGATCTCAGGCGTCTCGCATATGAGCTAGCCGAACAAAATAAACTACAACACAATTTCTGTCACGAGACAAAAATGGCTGGAAGAATATGGCTCGAAAATTTCTTGAAGCGTAACCCTGACTCAAGTCTACAAAAACCAGAACCCACTTCAGCAGCTCAAGCATCTGGATTCAAACAAGTTCAGGTTAAACGGTTTTTCGATTTATTAACAGATACAACAACAACGTATAAATTGCCACTCGATCTAATTTTCAATGACGATAAAACGAGCATGACAACGGTACCAAAGAGTATGCCCCGTATTGTTGGTACAAAAGGAAAGAAACAGGTGGGGCTATTAACTTCTGCTGAGCGGGGCCAGCTTGTTACTTTTAACTGGTCCGTTATACCTTCTGTTCCCCTACATGTATGGTTTTTGGTTCAAGAATGTAGTGAGTGCGATAATTCCATGAATGCTTATAATCTCTCATTATAAACGAGTTTTATCCATATTTGTTATTTTATCGCTGTCTTGAAAACGTTTTAACGAATAGATCAGTCTGAATAATATATTGTGATATTCAGGATATTGGCTGGGCTGTTTCAGTAAAAATATAAGTAGTATTAAAAAATGAAAAATTACTCGAAAATTTACACTAACAAGACATTTTAACAAAATAGTAAAAAAAATGATACCTTAAACTTGACCCACCACATGTATCTCATGACTGCTTTTTTACAAATTACAAGAAGGGAAAACGTGCAGGGCGATGTGTTGGAATAAACAAATTTAGTAATATGGCATAGCAAATTGCTCAATTTTAAAAGTTGCCAGATACTGAAAACTATACAAGTCATTGTTTTCAACGATCATCTGCGGCGATAGTGGTAGACAGACTTTTGAAAACATAACAACCCTTTAACAATACGGAGCCGCGGGTGGAAATCGACCACAACGTAAAGGGATATATCGATGACAGTCTGGTAAGCAAAATATCATTAGCAAATGAAATCCTGCAATCTGCTGAAAACGATTGCAGGTTTCTAAAAAAATACAAAAGTCAGTAAAAAATTCAAGATATTATTTACCTGTACCTACAATTTATATCGCTAACTGCGGTTATGAAATATATAGTTTAAAATAGAATCAATAGATATATTTTTGATTTGATCGTAGAAGTTTAGTGTGCTACTCATGCAGAAAACATATTCCACACTCTTGTGATTGCGGCACTCGCGTCATAACTTTCATACACAGGGATGGAATAGGTTGATTTCTGCACTTATTGCACTATTGAACATAAGCCTGTTACTTTACGACAGTGAGTTTGACACATTCCTAATAATAGTATTCTTGTATGATCAGCAATAGAGTTTATTATTGACCAAATGAGTTATAGAGTGATTGCCGAAGGTTTGATCATCAATCCAAATGGAATATCAGTGTAGGTACCTATTAGTGTATCACTTGAAAGTGAAATTTCTCTCAGGTTATCAATACTTTTCAAGTATTCAAGCATATAAATGTATTCTTATACATCACTATTTTGTTGAGGAAAGAGAAAGGAAGGAATGAAGAAAATAGAATTGAAACTTTCTATGTTTTTTACCACTTTTATTTGTAACTAACGTTACTGCAGTTTCGTCCTGTAAGGACATTTTCAAACTTATACATAAAGTTTGAAAATGTCCTTATAGGAAGAAACTGCAGTAACGTTAGTTACAAATAGAAGTGGTAAAAACACATAAAGTTTCAATTCTCTTTTCTTCATTATGATTCCCTACCACGTAGTAACGGCTACATCCATCAATTAATTGAGAGGAAGGAAGTATTATCGTCACAATAAAAGATAAAAATGAATATAATGTCTTTCATTTGTACAAAAGGTGTTCAAAGACTCCATATTTTTTAAAATTATCACTAGGCCCAGACATACAATAAAATATTTCGTGAAATATTAGAAATCAAAACTTAACGAAATCGTCAAACGATAAAAATCCAGAATAATATCCATTCTATGGAAATAATCAGATAACTTCTTTCTTCTCATGATACGTCTTTTCAACAATTTCTTTGAGATGGGCCGACATCAATGGCCCAGTTTCTTCTACCATTTTTGTAAAGTATCCAGTTGGGTTCTGCAATAATTGATGAGGAGGTGCATATTCCATTACTTCTCCAAAATCCATTACCAGAATTTTGTCACAGTCCATGATAGTGTTCAGTCTGTGTGCAATGATCAGTACGGTATAGTTTTTGAAATTTTTTCTAATTGTTTTTTGTACTAACGAGTCAGTGCTGAAAAAAGAAGTAATATCGGGTCAATACAAGAAAGATTCAGATAGAGAATCGTATTCAGTTAATGAATAATATATTGAATAATTGAATATATTGCAATTAAGTTTGCAATAAACGTGATTTTCTTTTAAAAAATTGCATAATCGAAATTTGAATTGCACGTTCAATAACCTCATTAGATGTACTTGTAATGGCTTCAAGATGGAAAGTCATACATTATTTTCTTGAAAATATTTATTACATATTTATGATATATTTTTTTAGTATTTTGTATCTGAAGTAGACATAATCAAATCACTTTGAAAGAATTTTTTCCAAATTGAAGTACGTTTATAGAATTCACTTGGACTTGTATATGTTTTAGGTGACCGCCGACTTCATCTTCAACGCAATATCTAATATCTGAAAGTATTTTAAACTTTCTCCAATATATATTTTACAAAGGTATTACATTACTTATGATATGCATATGAAAAAACTCTGTATTGGACTTATTGGAGTATGAAATGTATATTATTTCAAATTCTTAAGAAGATGCTACAAATAGAAGAGATCTTCATTGAGTAGGTTTAAGTACTAAAACTGTCACATGATCCAGACAACTTAACAAATACGGAGAAATTTATCGAAGTGTTTCAGTATTTTCACCATTTCGTGGAATGAATCTAATTGTTGATCTACAAAATTCATCTGAATAGATCGCAATACCCTTGCAGGAATATTTTTGCTTCAAGCCCTTCAATACCAGTGGAAGGTAATTCCTTGTTAGTATATGTTTTTTTTTAATATCATTGTTAAACAGAATATATATGTCGATAGAATTCATGCATTTTCTCTATCTCACATTGATTGAACTCACATTAAAAATCTTAAAAAATACTTAGTCTCTGGCTTGAAATTAACAAATACTTTTTGGCTTTTCTGAAAAATGCGCCTCACGGAAGTTTTTTTATACCCGTGTACTCATAACGTTGTTGTGTGGACCATCTAGGGTTTTTGATAACTTCCTGAAATACTTCTATGCATACAGTTATCGTATCCACTTTATTGTTTGCTTGTTTGTTAATGATCCCGTATGCTTGAATCGTTTCAGAATTCTATACTGACCGTTGAGTAGTGAACTTTTTAACGGATTTTGTTTGTTAAAAATTTCCGCAGCTCCACATATCAAAACTAATTCTGCTATTTCTGTTGGACGAGTCATTTGTAATAACACAAGTTTAAAAAATAAGAAATTTCATCAGAAGAGTTATTGATACTTGGAGCTCTCATTTTTTTTTCATGGCTACTCGTGATACTTTCAAGTTTTGTTGAGTTTTGTTTATCAGAAGCAGTTTAATCCTAATTTTGAAGGTGGTCACTTGGTAATCGAAACACGTGTCAAGGTGTTGGGATAAAACTCCATTAATATTTATTTATCAGAAGCATGTTCATGAAGATTTGGATACTTTGATCGATTTAAAGGTACTTTTATTCTTTAAAGAATTTAATATTTTCTCCTTTGCAAGATGTTTGACTTGAAGCTATTCTAAAGGCATCCAGTTTCATGAAGATCTGGAACACGAGTTTTATACTTTGATCGATTTAAAGGTGCTTTTATTCTTGAAAGAATTTAGTATTTTCTCCTTTGCAAGATGTTCGACTTGAAGCTATTCTAAAGGCATCCAATTCACTTACTTGTTAAGGACATGCAACTTTTTGGCGGTATTCAAAGTTCCATTTGTTGCGAACTACGAACGAACTCTACTTATTTACACTGTAATAATATTTGTCACTGAAGATACTACCTATATTGGTGTTTTTCATTGGTAAAACTGGTGCAGCATTTTTCTATTCTTTATTAATGGAGGATATAAATATACACAATGTGCACTAGTTTTACCAGTAGAAAACTCTGTAAGTGGTGAGATACCTACACATAAAGCATAATACCGATAATCAAAAAAATCAATGGAGATGAAACAAAATAGGGCAAATTAACTAAAAGAAAAATTCGTTCAGGCCAGTCATAAATTACCTACACTATAGGTTGATGGACTGACACCTATCAGAAAACAACTATTTCCCTGGCTAATACCACGAAGAGCGTTGGATTATATGCAACAGGTGTCAGTGCATGATTCTTCACATACCAGTTTCGGGCTATCTGGCCTCTCGTCAGTGCAAGGTAGTGACCATCATCAACCTAAAGTTGACGATATTCCATAATTAAAAATCAAATTTCTTTCGGAGTATTATTCCTCTAACCAAGCTGAAGCGGAGGACAAACAACAAATTTGTCAACGGTGCATCTGATAAACAAGGTACTAACCAACCGCATATCCAAAATTCGCGGAGCGATGACAAATTTGTTTGTTTTCGATTGCTCCAGCTTGGTTAGAGGAATGATACTCTGAAAGGAGGTCAATTTTCAATTATGGAATATCATCAACTTTAGGTTGATGATGGCCACTACCTTGCTCTGACAAGAGGCTAAATAGCCCAAAACCGGTCTGCAAGTGTGTCCGTTCCTATATTTGAAAATCGATTCCAGTAGTTGTATTGCCAACATCAATCATATGCAAGAAATACTTCTGTGAAGAATCCTGCACTGACCCCTGTTAGATATGATCCAACGCCGTTCTTGGTATTAGCCAGGGGAATATTTGTTTTCTGATAGGTGTCAGTCCATTAACCTACTGTGTAGGTTAGTCGAGACTGACCTGAACAAATCGTTCTTTCAGTTAATTTGATTTACAGCCAGTCTTCAAGTATGCCCACTGAATATATGTGAAAACAAAATGGGACATTTGAAATCTCTTATCTGTTGGTAATAACGCATTGAAAAAACCACTGTAATGTGAGATCATCGCCACTTGACAGTTTACAATATCACGGCACTTGTTTCGATATACAATAGCATCTTCAGGCTTCAACAATACTGACTAAACGTCATGCTTTTATTGTAATTTGAATCTTAATGACTATTAACACCTGCCAAATTTCTACCTGATAATTCATAACATAAAATATTTACCTTTCTAATAACAACTCATTAAAATGGATAATAATGAACACAAATTTTGCCTCATTTTACCTACTTTTGAGGAAAAATCCTAAATTTTCTCATTAAAAACTGAATTCAATACTGGGGAACAGTTCAGAAACATTCGATCATTGAGTAATAATCCCAAATTTTCAAATGTAATGTTTTTTAAGCATTCCAAAAGGTTGAGTTTCCAACCTATCTCTTCCAAATTCAATACTTCATAATCGTGATTAAACTCGCGCCCCTCTGTCAAGATCGTATATATTGAATTGATCTTCTTATTAAAAAAACAACTTTTATGCTCTTTCATTTTTCTAGAGTATGTTCTTCCGGTTTGGTCAATTTCAAAATTAGGATATGAATCACAAATCAACTTATGTACGAGTACTCCCGATCTATTCGACACTGGAGTTTTATCTTTATGGTTTTTAATGAATTAACTCAAATTATTATTTTTTCTGTAGGCTACGTCCAACTCTTGGTTTTCTAAAAACTGTTAAATGAAAATATCATAAAAGACAATTTTTTCAATACTTTATGAAGGATTTTCTCCAAGTATTAGCCAGTTCTATCATATTTTTGGTAAGTAATAATTATCATCCTTCCAAATTTGAATAAGATGTTGTGTTCTCACGATATTGAGGTGTTTGACCATGTACAATTATGAAATATTTCTTCTCCAATTAATGCTTTCATATGTTTCCCAAGAAAAATCCCAATCTCTTATCTATTGTGAATACTAAGGCTATTCACATATTCGAATGAACAAAAAATTACAACAATACATGAATATTACTCAAGGAACATTCAAGATTACATGATGAAATTCCCAGAGAATCATAGTTTCTAGAAGTGCTGTGGAACCATTGTAAATCCATACAACAAAAGTCTATTTCAAGTTTTATTATTATTCATTATATTGAACCTTCTACAGAAACAAATAGGCTATAGTACTGAATGATTGTAAAATGTACAGGGTCTTCCGAACTTGACATTTGATTACGGCCATCTTGTTGAAGCTACATCTGTTAAATTAGTTGTCATTTATTCACTATGTTTTGACAAATCACCATGGACTGATATGTCATTCAACCACACGTTCAATCGGTAAAATTGTTTTATCAAAATGGCTGTTCTATTCGGGCAACGTACCGCGCGCTTCGCCCAATTTATGGCCGCCTTAATCGGCCTACCGAGAGATAGACATCGAAAAATCATCTAAAGCGATGAGGCCTATTTCTGGTTGAATGGGTACGTGAACAAACAAAATTGTGGAATTTGGGAGGATACCAATCCACATGAGATCCATGAGCGTCTAATGAATCCCGAAAATGTCACTGTTTGGTGTGGATTTCGGGCTGGCGGTGTCATTTGTCCATATTTCTTTGAGAACGACGTTGGCTAGGCCATCATTGCCAACGGCGAGACCTATTTGTTGATGATTATCAACTTCATTTGGCCTGAATTGGTTGATATGGACACCAACGTCATGTAGTTTCAATAAGACGGCGCTACATGCCACACAACTTATGCCACATTTGATATTCTGCAGGAGCAACTTGAAATCATGGTCATCTCACGTGGAGGTGATATGAACTGGCCACCGAGATCGTACGATTTGACCCCGTTAGACTTTTTTTGTGAGGTTTTCTTGAGTCGTAGGTGACTGTGAATAAACCATAAACCATAGCGGTCCTCAAAACCAACATAGCCCGTGCCATCTGTCAAATTCAGCCTGATTTATGCGCAGAGTCATTGAAAATTGGACGTTTCGGATGCGCTCCACCCAGGGAAGTTGTGGCAGACATTTAAATAATGTTGTATTCCACACATAATGGCATCAATAGGTTTCTCAAACGAATAAAAAATGTCGACAATATCTCACACACACGTTGTTTTATTTTAATTTAAAAATAGGAAGCGCTTTACGGAAAATCCTATAGTGGATACTCCTTGAAATCCTACTTTGCGCCTGTTTGATCCAGAAGAATGAGTATGCTGTGACTATCATAATTCAATTTAGCAACTGATAAACCGCTATGTGTATAACCTGATTGATATTAACTGGTTTCCAATTTAAATAAATTTAATATCGGTTGGAATTCCGATCCACATTCATGATGCCACATTTTGATAGAGAAGTTCGATAAAAGGAAGTTAAGAAAAGTTTTTTTGCACTTATTTCCGTACCTAACAACATTTGGGTTCAACGAACTCAAAAAAAAATACTTCTTAGCATAAAAGTCAGTGCAGATGGACCAAAAAGAATGCATTCAATAATTGTCATCTCTTATTGATAAATGATGATTATCATCCATCCAATTCAGACAAGAAGTTGAGTTTTCATGATATTCAGGAGTTTGCTCATGTACATTTATTGAGGATATGACAAGTTACTGACTGATTAAAATCTCCAGTGGTTTATATCAAGCAGTTATTTTTCGGAGTAAACTTTTTAGGTTGCTCTTCATCATACTTCAGCCGATTTGCTATTGATTCAGTTATGTTTATTTTTCAAATTGTGGAATATATACACAAAAAACCAGCAAGAAGATATTTTTTCATTTTCGCTTTTTTTAAGGAGGATAAAACACAAGCACTATAGGAAAATCTCCAGCGCACAGGCACCGCTCTTATAGCGCTGGATATTAAATTCATTCAAAAATGTTCACAGAAAGTTTTTTTGCACAAAAACGCAGTTCTCCAAATAGAAGAGTTCTNCGACCTTTCCCTTTCCAGGGTTGTAATCTTTCCCACAGGGTTACTTAGAGTGGTTCCAACCTACTGATTGGTACTTCAACGAGTTTGATATCTGACATCTTATGGTTGGAAGTCAGATTCTGGTGCTTATACTCCCGAAAATGAGATACATACTGGTTTATTTTTTCCGTTGATTCCCTTATTCAAATAGGAACGTGCCTGCATTATCAACCAATGACTATATTTCTCTGTGTGCGAGTTTTTGATACACGAACACATTTTGAGTTCATGAGAAGTTGTATCAAATTGAAAGGGTATTGATAGTCAATAATATTGACTCAAAAATAATTCATGGTTTATTGAGAAAAGAAAAACTTGAAATTAGAAATACAACTTTTTTTAGTTATCGTGCCCTAACTATATTAGATATTCTGTAGTTTTTATTATACTCGTATTTCCAGAACATGAGCGTGAAAATTCGCAAGAATTCACAAGATTCTGTATTATAGAATAATCGGCAAATATTTTTTGCAAAGGGAATACACATTTTTCCATTTCACTTACTTTTATTTTGTAAATGAAGTTGCTGAGAATATTATATCTCCATTTAAAACCATAATGGATAACATATGTAATTTTTTCAGGAGTAAGTATTTTGAGAAAAAATGAGCTCAGTTAATAATAAAACTATCCATTTCTCATAAAAGATTGACGATAAGAGCAATTTTCAGAAACATTGAATTCATTCATACTGCGTCAAATTTCACAAATAGTTATCAACAGCTTCGAAATGTTTAAAATTTTCTTTCAAAAAGCATCGTAAACTTGAGAAAGAGTTCAGTGCAGTGCTTGAATTCTCGACAAATAGAAATTATGGAAAAATAAAACTTCCAATACTTGTATTGTACTTGCCAATTTTATATACTTACTGAGCATCGACATTAGCAGTAGCTTCGTCCATTACTAAAATTTTATTGTTTCTCAAAATAGCCCTCGATAAACATATCAATTGTCTTTGGCCCGCACTGAAGTTGGTACCACCTTCATCAACTTTTTGGTNATTGGAGAAAGTGGTCCAACATCATCTCACATCATCCAACGCTTTCCAAATGTCTTCGTCACTTGCTTTTTCGAAAGGATCCAAATTCTGTCGTATGGTAGACGAAAATAATGTGGGCTCTTGCGGGATAACAGATATGTTTGATCTTAAATCCTCCAAACTCACATCCGATGTATCGACATCATCTATTTTGATGGTGCCTTCTATCAACGCCATTCTGAATAAAGAGAGTATGAGAGAGGATTTTCCTGCTCCGGTTCTACCCACTATACCGACTTTTTCCCCGGCTTCAATCACCAAGTTCAAATTTTTCAATACTGGTGTTTCTTCAGGTGCGTACTTCAAATATGTATTTTTGAAGACTATTCTGCCATAACTTGGCCAATTGACAGGTTTCTTTGTTGGGGGTTTTCTCAGGTCATCTTCCGTTGGTAAGTCTATGTACTGATATATCCGCTCTACGCTTGTCATTTTGGAAGATACTTCAGCCGCAAGTCTAATAGAGAATTGAAGCGAATTCATTACAACCAGGGTGCTGGTTATGACCATACCTACTTGTGCACTGTTGAATTCACCTGGAGGCAAAAATACTGAATCTACCAAAAATTGAATGATCAATGTTAAATGAACTGAATTAGTGGAAAAGAGGTACCAAATTTCAAAACTATCCATTCACTATCCAATTCGTTATAAGGGTCCTAAATAATAGTGTGCTCTTCCGTTAATCTTTAACAACAGCAAGTGTTGGTGATTTTTAAGTGTGGCGCCTGAAACTATGGAGTTTGGAACTATTTTTCTGTTACTTTGGAAGTTTGGAACTATTTTTCATTGTTATGATTATGATTTATCTCGCAGTTTTCTTACATCGATCATGAGAAATCGAGAATTTTGGAATACAGGTATATTCCAGGAGGAATTTTTGTCAGACATATTTATCATGGACAAATAAATGGGGGGTTGAACATTTTTGAGTGGTGAATGACGATAATATTCTAATATGATATAACGCAAATGACAAACTCAAAACAATCGAATAATTCAAGTATGTAAGATTTGTAGTTGAAAATTCAACTATGAAAAAGTGTTTATCAAATTCCTTTTTGGGAAAGAGAGTTTTTTGCCTTATACTTTTCCATCTTGGTACAAAAAATGTGAAAAAAAAGAAAGAAAGGAAGGAAGCATTCAATTTCAAAAATTATCTCTATAAAAAGATGTTCAGATCATGCAAAGAAGTGACTTTCAGACACAAATTAGCTTCGAAACTGTGATATATCGGCAGATTATTTATATCATTCTGTATGTGTATTGGAAATGTACTGTCCGATTCTGGTTTGTTCTTTTTACCACCGTATAGAAGTAAACACAAGTAAATTTACTTCCGTCGACCTCTTTGATGGTTCGGGTCGAGATTTTATATTTTGCTGGCATGTGGTGGGGCAGGAGGGTGTAGGCTGAGAGCTATCGTGCATCTCTGCACGAGGTTCGACCAAAAAATATGTAATCATGATCTGACTTCATAATTGCTACGAGGAGCTCACAATAAATATCTCATTTAATTGTGAACAGTTGAGGAATTGATGAAAATAAGACATGGTGGTGAAATAAACGTATATTTTGTAAAGTAAGATTATACAAAAACTTATGCTTATGCTAATCTATTCTGAAGGTTTTTTAGAATGATGAGTTTTTGATTTTTTTTAACATTTGTTTTCAAATTTCTTTTGGCAAATTTCAAAGTATAATAAATTCTTACCCTTGTGAAAAGGGAAAATAAATAATCTTAAGGAAAATTATCACAAGAGTGAGAAATGTTGATTTTTGAAAACATTGTTTTGAGCTGGTTGCCTATGCAATCATATGGCACATAAATTATATAAATAATAAGGAAATTCTGTCTCTAGATGAATGATACTTTGTAAAAATGAATCTGTAGGCATATATGAATTTCCAAACTGTTTGGCTTCTGAATCACTGTATGCCTTGAAATAACTATATACATTTGTTTCATTCAGTGTGATACTAGGCGCCGTAGCAAAATTTGTACATACTTTACATGAATGTTTTCCTAAACATTTTCTCAAAAGATATCCACAAACATAGCCCAAGCTGTTGTCTCTACTCTCAAAGGTTTATAGGGATTTTTTGGAACTTCCACAAGAATCTTTACTCTATTTATGTCAGCATCTGTAATATCAGATAGAATCTCACTAGTATCTTCTAGATAGTTAGTTCCTTCTGCCTGTGTGGAATACTGACGAGTAAATGTGTTTTTGAAAGCTCTGGTAATTTGAACAGGAGTTGGGTTTCTGACATTTCCACAAATATTTCTCTGTTGACCAAAATAATTTTCCACACAGTCCTGATTTATATTCCTTGTCATATGTAAAAGTGTTCTTCACTATGTAGGGTTTTTCAAAGTTGCAGAAATGCCGAAATTGTTATCTACCACCCCTCAATGATTCAGATTTGTCCAGTCGTGTTTTCTCATTTTTTTGATATTACAGTTAATTTGCTGAAAAATACTAACATTTCTTTCAGAAAATCAATTTGTTTTGATGTCATGAAAAAAGATTTATTGAAATGTTAGACATCGTCCAATGGATTTGAATTCAAAATATCAAACATTTTATCCATTTTTTCAATGAATGTAGCCGTCCCTATTGCTGCTGATGGTATCCGATTAAAACTGGCATAAGTATTCATCGCTGTAGCTACCGAATGACTGAAAACTTGACTGGCTAATTTAACATTCATCCTTTGAAAGTTAATTGAAAATGAATGAGAATCAGTAAGTTTCGGTGCTAGTCTATATTGCTTCTCCTTATCCAAGTTTTAAAGTTGTCAAAGATGACTTTTGTTCATTGTAAATTCATCAAATTTAAAAAAATCATGTAAAAAATGGTTTCTGCTACATTTGAGCGAATGAGAAGTATAAAAAAAGTAAAATATTTTTTCTCATCAACAAAGAAATATGGCTGCTCTACAGTCACATTGACATCTTATATATTTCAGTTTCCTCTGTGCAACTCGAGTAGATTTTCTTTGGTAATTGCACTGTTTCCTACGTAACTTACCTTTTCATTATTATGTGTGTATATGTGACTTATCTTATTTGTATACATCTAAGAGATCAATAAATTATCTTATCTTATCTAATCATCATCAAATCTGTTACTGTTTCGAAAATAGCAATAAAAAAAAACGAGCTGTATACTGTATCCAGATTATTGAATATTTTGTACATAAAAACCATGGTCATATGAAAAATTCAGTTACATACTGAAACCCATTGAACTGCTGTTTGATCGAAAGTAAAGAGACTTAACTGTGGTCTTGAAACACTGCTAATGAAAGAAAACTACTTATTATTATTTTCACTGAAGTAGACCAGGTAATCGTCCGACAGATATGAATTTTCAACTTACCAATATCCAGCATGAATTGATAAATTACCAAGCCCAGAAATGTGGTACTGACGCAGTCCAAATAAAACCCAAATGCTGAGCTATATGCATTGAATAAAAAGATAGTACTCGTATTTTGATCTTGAAGGGTGTCGAATTCTTGAATGACCATATTTTGTGCTTTCGATGATCTGATCGTTGTGAATCCATTCAAAGTTGCTGTTACGTGTGAATAAACAGGAGCCCGAGCTGGAAAAGAGTACATATATCAGGTTCGAAAAAATAAAAAAAATGAAAAGGTAATTTATCGGAACGCGTGTCTCAATAATGAGTGTGCTTCAATTCTGATCCTTTTTATTTTTATTTGACAACCCAATCCATCCAACAAACAAAGCAACCAAAACAACGATAGTTGGCGATCAAAGCATGATAACCCCACACATTTGCATCTATTGGGTGAAATGAACAAGCCTCCTTACGCTGGCCAATCAGTTTTAACTGTAATCGGCTGGCAGAATTCATTGTATCATGTATATCGCTACCGTGTCGGAGTGGTCAGTTACGTTTCAACGCATATGGTGAGTACATATACGGTATTTCAAAGTTTATAATTTTCAAAATGTCAAGTACTGATACGGCTGGAGAAACTGTTAACTTGTGTCCCTAGAGTCCACATAAAAAATACCAAAAAACCTGCACCTTAATATTAACGAAAAAAATGTAATCATGAACATTCACAAAAATCAAATTGAAGCAAATCCTTTATTGTCCGTTGATGAAATCGTGAGAAAAGTAGGAAACATTGCTGGAGTGTCTCCTTCAAGTGTCTATGGAGTTATGAGAGAATATAAACAAAAGCATTCTTTTTCGGCTCCAATACCATGTCCCTTAGAAAAAAAAATGTATTGATGAAGTAGACTATTTTGATTTGAACGCTATCAGAAGGAAACACATAATTTTTTTAAACGAAATGTCAACAATAGATTCAGTTCTAAAAGTTGTAAACGATGATCCTCATCTATTTCTAATTACAATAGGTTGACATTCCACAAATTATTGAAAATATTAGGTATTGAATTTAAAAGAAGAGAGAGAAGAGAGAAATAGTTTGTTGCTCGAGAAACTAGAAATGGTATTGTGGAAACCACAATATTTAATGAAAATAGAGCCTACAAAAGAGAGAATCGAAAAATGTATTACCTGGATAAAACGTGGCTAAACGCAGCTAAGTCCAAAATTCGGGTTGATGAATAAATAACTTCTTCAATACAAGCNAAAAAAAAACGGGAGCTTTTTGAATGCTGAAAAATTTGATATGTTGTCATGCCAAAGAAATTGTGTTTATGATGAACGTACTCTAATAAGTATCCAGAGAGGCGACAACTTGGTAAATCAATATTTAGACGTGTGAATGTGTGAATGGTACACCAGAAAATGCCAAGACGATGAAAATTTCCCTTTCAAAATAATTTGGTCTGATAAAACTAAGATCACCAACAATGGCATTTTCAATAGGCGGAATGTTCATTATTGGTCACAACAAAATTGCGAGTACACAAAGTATCCAGACATCAACATCGTTTCGATTTTAACATGTGGTTTGGGATTCTCGAAACGAATGTAATTGGGCCTTTAATCCACCAAAACAATTTAACGAAAGAGCGGTAAATAAATTTGTTAGTAAATGATTTGGAAGACGCTCTAGATAATTTGCCTTTAGCGGTTACTCATAGCTGCTGCTTTCAACAAGATGGTGCTTCAACACATAACGCTAGAATTGTTTGTGATTATTAGAACCGTCGCTTAACAGGACACTGGATTGTAACTCATAGTGATCCACCAAAACAATTTAACAAAAGAGCGGTAAATAAATTTGTTAGTAAATGATTTGGAAGACGCTCTAGATAATTTGCCTTTAGCGGTTACTCACAGCTGCTGCTTTCAACAAGATGGTGCTCCAACACATAACGCTAGAATTGTTTGTGATTATTAGAACCGTCGCTTAACAGGACACTGGATTGTAACTCATAGTGATACATCCTGGCCTGCAAGGTCCCCCGATCTAACCCCACTAGACTAGGATATATCAGGAATCAAGTGTACTCTCATAATTTTCAAAATTGAGTAGATTTGCCAAGATTGGTTACTTACTGCATCCTTTAACAATATTGTTCCGAATATGTTCATTGTGACTTATCTTTGTATTCAGCAACGCAACAATTCCAAATGACAAGTTGAAATTTATTATGAATAAGACTAATCAATTCACTTCATGTATCAAAATATAACCTTTTTCCACCGTGTACTATCTAAAATTGAAGAAAAACAGGTTAAGTAATGTATTTTAATTTTGTGCAAGAAATGATTATGAAATCATATTGTGTGATACGTTGTTGTATTCACAATGAAAAATGGAGTCATGAACAGGGTATACTTTAGTTTCGGCCCATATAAAAATACAAAGTTGATGCTGTTTTCTAAAAGACGAAACGTAGCAGAAAAATTCTCCTCACGTTATCGTGTAATTTTTAAGAAGAGAGCATGGCAAAGTGCTATTTGTTTTACATTTCCTTTGAAAATAAAGCTAGGAGAAAATTGAAACAAAATTCTCAAATTTCGGTTTTTCTTGGATATCTCCAAAACTACTTGGAATATTAAAACTTTCTGAATGGCATATTATTGGGCACATAAATGCACTACTTTTCTTTGATTCAATACACCCCCTATCACTTACCGTTTCCGATATCCCCATGCTGTTCATTCTTATTTTGGACACAGTGTATAGGCTTTTGTTTTACGGCTCCTAGGTACGGAAGAAAAAAAATCTTCTCTTGAAAACTGAGTACGATATAAAATATTCAAGGGAACCGAAAATTAACTATCAAATATTGAATGGTGATGGTATCGAACAAAATAAAATGCTATACACTATTGTGGGACACCGGACTAGGGGGCAAAAAACGTTTGGGAACCCAAATTGTTTCCAAAAGTGTCATTGAAAAAATGAGAGTATTAACCCTATAAGCCCATGTGGTAGTAGTGTTTTGGGACATTTTGAAGAAATGGACAAGTTAGACGGTTAGCATATAGCGGAAAAAATAGCATACAGTAATTTGTACTCTAAATATCGACCACATATATGAAATAGAACAAAACCACAAGAAAATACAAAAAAAAACTCAAGCATGCGCCAATCCAATAATACAGTCTTGAGGGGAAATCAGGACTCGAGAAATAATCTGGAAACAAATACCAGAGAATATACGAAAAATTGGTGGAGTAACCATGAGAGAGCTTCCCCAGTTGCACTTTTACGAGTCAGAAATTACAAATTCAAAAAAGAAATGATTGGCTAGTGGCAAAGAGAGTTAACTATATCGCATACTCGAACAAAATATTTTCATCAGAACTAGGAAGTATTTCAGTTACATTTTTAGATACTGGGGGCTCATTAGATAAAAGGTCCACAGATTCATAATTGTAGCATCGAGGAGGGAAGGAATCGATGATAGAACCTGCATGTGGATATATTGTACGCTTAGAGGAAGATTGGTAAACATGGCCATTATGACACATATGGCAAAGTTTTGTTCTCGGGGGGAAGTTTTGTCCCTACTGTTATGGAATCTTGTAATAGATGAGTTACTACTTCTGTAATATAATTGATATAAAATACTGGCTATGAAAACGATTCAGTTATCCCAATCCAATGTGATAATGCAGCAGTAAAATCTCTGAATACTACAGAGAGACCTAGAAAGAAGGGCTAAATATCAGCTCATCCAAATCAATCAGAGTATTTTTCACTAAGATGATCTGGATAGAGAGACTAGAATCTCTACTATCTTGAAGTGAAGAGACGGCATTGTCATGGAAGGTCAAATATCTGGGAGTGATACTAGATGTTGGATTGATCTAAAACTGATAATTGGGATGAATAGAAGAGTGAGATAGCACTGATGCTGGCCAGACATTCTTATGAGAAAACATGGGCGTTGAATCCATGGTAACATAAAATTCTTTGGTTTGGTGATGGCCAAATGAGCTACTGCTATCAGCAAAATAAGCAGAGTGCAAAGAATTATTTGTTTGGGAATAACGGGATTAATGAAAATCACAGCAACGACGGGAAGACAAGAGTGGGCCAATTCAGACCGGAAAATTCACCAGGTTATGAGGCTATGTGAAGTGTATGATGAACGCTTATCTCAAGAACATACTCGGAAGAAACATATGGTATTTATATGGCTTGAAAACCAAACATGGAAATGATCTCGTATGTTCTGTACGGGGAGAAATTCAGATTACAGCTACCCATTGAGTCGATATACATCCGGTTTTCCAGGTGTTCATTCACACAGTCTTGCAAAGGACAAGAAATATGACTTTGATATCTCAACAAAATGAGCGTATCGGTATTCTCTCAGACAGCCAGGTTGTATCCAGGTCTCTGTTGAACTCAAGAGTGATATTTGAGACTGGCCTTGGAATACCGTGAAGAACTGCAGAAATTTGCGGACTGTAAAAGATTGACTCCATGCCCAGTTTGGCCTTCAACTAGCTTTGGTACCGACGAGATCAGAAAATTAATTAATGAGAAACACCAGGAAAATACCTGGGGATGCACTACGGAAACCTTTTATTTCATAATAGTACATGCACAAAGCTGTCATAATTCAAAACTGTACATTGAAGTTGGTAATAATAAACCATATGAATTTTTGGAAACCTGATTGTTATCTTGCTAGTACTTTATGGTTTTATGAAGGTAGTGATAAGTAGGAGTTCCAAACAAACTGAATTCAGATATATTTTCTTGATTATAAACAAATCCCACCATTTCATTCCACAAAGAATGAATTTTATTACTCAGTAAATGCATTTTCACATTTTTCTTCGATCTCGTCTTCGTTCCAAATGTCACAGGCATTCAAAATGGGGGCCATCAGTTCAAGTCGTATTGAAAACAATTCGAATCGAGATACAGATATGTCTGGTGGATTACCAAAAATCCGTTTGAGGAAGAAAATGAAGAACTGATTCAACATAGCAGAAAATACCTCTCGAAAATTACACAAGGTGATTTATATTAAAGGTATAAAGGTAAGCTTAGCTGCAGTTACTGCAAAAAATAGACATAGAGATAGTATAAAGTAGTCATTTCCAATACATTTATTGATTCTCAATAAACAAACCTATAAAAACCATTAGTATTTGATTTAAACTTACCTGAAGGATTCATATGGAAAAATCTCATTGGCGCCTTCAATACTTTATCAAACATTTGATTGTGTATCTGTTTTGAAGATTTCATGCAAACAGTATAAAATAAAATAGATACTACAGGAGCCAGAATACTGAGGATTATTACCAAAATGGTGTAAATTATCACGCAGTTCCAATGTACTGGTGGAAATTCTTGAGAATCATACGTTACATTTGCAGATGTGTTGTTTACAAAACTTTCCGTAAAATCTGTTCCTTCTGTTGTTGGTGAGGCAGATGAATTGAACTGTGATTGAACACTCATTTGTTCTAGATTTGCCCTGAAAAATATTTCATTGAAATGATGTATTTCATTGAAATGACTTATTTTTATTTATTGTGTACAAAAACATATGCGGTTGGTGTTCAGGTTATTAGATGTGAGGTTTTCAGAATTTTTGCATTTGTTATTACAAATAATGGAAATAAAATTGCAACGGACATTCAACTCACTTCAAAAGACAGTCAGCTTCTCATTATAATTTGTCTCATACACATTGCAGCCACTACTGAATAACGATGAAATAATAACGGTATCGACACGTTACTGATGAATAGAACATTTTATTGTGAAAAATTCGAAAAGTTTCTTCACTACAATTTTCATATTTTTCAGATAGTGAAAGGTAAAAACAATCAAAGAAGGTCGATAAAAAACTGATTTTCCTTCACAAAAAATTACTCCCTTTTGGTATCTATTTAAAATATTATAAATTATTTTCTCCTGAAAAACGTAGTAGTAATAATTAGTTAGCAACAATGTGAAAGATGAAAGTTCAATATGTCAATGTTATTCCATGCTAGAGGTTCCAAATTATACTATCATGTCAATAAAACGTAGCATCGTAGCAACAGTGAGAAAATTATTTCCGCGACACCGTTATCATTTCATCATTATCATTTCATCGTTATTCTGAAGTGGATGCAATGTGTAAGTATAATGAAAATCATAATAAGAAGCTGACTGTCACTTGAAGTAAGGTAAATATCGTTCATACTTAATCTATCACTGGTCCGGAGCTATATTGTTACGTTAATAGTCAGGCGTAGTCTCAGAGACTACTCATTTTGACAGGCCAAGCAAAGAATAAAAATTCAGATAGATTAAATATTTTATTCACTATGTCACATTGAAAAGTAGGATGTGTAAAAATAAATACTATTAAAAGAAAACATATAATACATATTAATCCAAATGAGGTAACATACAGAAAATTTACATATACACATCTACTTGTAAACAAAATGATACAGAAAATAGTAGAACTAAAAAAATCTCGGTTTACATTTATATTTGTGTTTTCAAAGTATGCAATAGTTAAAAAATTAAGATGAAGTTGGAATATAACTAAAAAACTTAGCTCCAGCATGTGCCAAAGTTGATTATTTTGAAATGCAGTTATTACAAACTGGCTTCGTGCACTGTAGACAAACAGGCTTATGACATTTTAGACATAAGTATTTTGTCATTCTACGCACTCTAGAAGGACATAAGTGACAAATTTTATGTTTTTCCAAGACCAGAACAATATTGTTGTCTTTCTGTTCTTCATCTGGTACTCCAAGTATTCTTCTAATAGTAGTGCGAATTTCACGTGGAATAACAGAAATTGTCAAACGTCTTTTCATGTGATCTTGCACTGATTGCATGGCTAACTGTATACCAATTTTATTATTCTCATAGCAGTTATGCAGGATGTATGAATTTATCACGGAAATGTCCAAGGGACGTAAAAAAATTGCTAAAGGCCACCTTCGACTTCGACGGCTCGAAGTGCTCATAGAACATTTCTCATCGAGAGAATCCACCCCGCCCTTATTTCAACTATAATAAGCAATGGTTTGTTGTTCCCCTGTGGATGGATCAGTGAAAACTTTGTCATGCATGGAAGATATTAATACTGTGGCTTCTCCAACTTTCCCAACATAGGAAATTAGAGTACTCTCTTCTCTAAAGCCATGAAGTGTTGATCTCTCAGTTCTTTTTCTATTAGGCAGGAAAGATGCTGCTATTTCCGCTTTATTCTTCTTAATTTTGCCCACAAATGTAAGATTCTTTTTCCGCAATATATCTACTAATTGTGTTGCTGAATCCCAATTGCCAGGTGTAATATTACGATCGCTGTTAAAAATAGGATCTGCTGAGCGTGAAACAGCTTGAGTAGGTTTCAGGAAATTTTCATTGTCATCACTGAGACCGAAACCATCTGAATCTTTGCCGCTGTATAGATAACTATTTCGCGCATCCGTGAGGCATCCGTGAGGCCGTATTTCGCCGGTTTATTAGGCATATACATTTTAAACCGGCACCTTCCTCGGAAACTCACAAGCATTTCATCTAGAGTAGCAGACTGACAAAGTCCATAAGCACTTTGACAATTTTGTATGAATGTATTGAAAATAAATGAAATTGCTGCAACTGGATCATCTTTCTTGCGCTCTTCTGTATCTTCAGGATTGTCGTATCGTATATTGACTAACATAACATCAAACCTCTATTTGCTCATGACCGATCTAAATATCTCTCTATCAGTTCCATCGGTTGCAAATAACCGGTCTATATTTTCGTGACTCGAATTAAATATTGCTGTATACACCAAAAGGCCCAAAAATGCCTTCAGCTCTATGATATCAATGTTTTTCACATGATGTCTGGAATTGACTGTATACCTTTCACGAATAACACTCAATTTTTCGTTTGTGTACTGTAGAATATGTTGCAACATGTTATCACTGAAAAGCAAATCCCAAATGGATAACGTATCCGCCCTTTTGCCTAGCATTTTTGCTTCTGCCTTCAAAGTAGGTACTTTTATTATAATATTGTGTTTACGTGTTCTCGATGAATGGCGAACTTCTGACGTACAACATCGATACCGTTTTTTTTCCCACATCTTGGAATTGTCGTTAACTTCTGTTACACCATTTTCTTCAACGTCTTCAGTAGCAGACAATTGTGAATTGGTATCGTGTTCTGATTCAATATTATAATTTTCCGGCACATCGTTAACATCACTATCGCTGTCATTTGCTTCATTGAACCATTTTGAAAGAATTTCTTCATAATTAGAATCTCTCAACCTTATTCCTTTACTTGGCCCCGCCATATTACTCTAAGAGTGTCGCTCACAAATTACTCACACAAATGGTCCGACGTCGACTCTCAGACGACGGAAAAACTTTTTTCTAGCGATACTAACAGGAGACTACCGCAATCAAGTCAAAAGTACACTCACCTATTATGCTCGAATAGGGTGGGGATTAGATGGAATAACAGGTTTTAGAATGGTCCCAGTGACAAATCAAATACAATTATTTGAATAGCGTAGTTTGCTAGACGACGTTAGACTAGTCAAGGGTTAAAACTGGCTCTGAATCAAATTATCTGAAGAATCAATTCTTTCAGACCAGTCTTTCCTCACCTACACAGTGGGTTTTTGAAATGACATCTACCCGACAGTTGTCAGTGCAGGATTCTTCACAGAAGTAAATCCTGTATATATTTTTGGCGATACAACTATCGGAATCAATTTTTAATTATTGGAACGGTTCCACTTGCAGACCTGTTTCGGGCTATTCGGCCTCCCACCAGTGCAAGGTAGTGTCCTACATCGACACCAAGTCGATGATATCCTATAATTGAAATTCAAATCCTTTCAGACCATTATAGTTTGAATAAAGCTGAACGAAAAGCAATATAACTCCTATCGCCCCCTATGCCTGTAGACGAAGCCTGTAGTAATTTTCAATTATAGGAAATCATCGACTACGAGTTGATGTAGGATAGACAGTACCTAGCACTGACTGACTAGAGGCCAATTAATTCGAAACCAGCCTGCAAGTGTGCGCGTTGCAATATTTGGCCAAAAGAATATGCAGGAGTTACTTCTGTGAAGAATCTTGCACTGACTGGGTTGGATATAACCCATGTCCTTCGCGGTATTAGCCAGGGAAGAAGTTATTCTCTGATAGGTGTCAGTTCATTAACCTACTGTGTAGGTGAAATCGACAAGATTGAAATTTCAAACCTTCCCACATCAAGTAAGGATCAAGGACAAATAATGAATATTCTTGTCATACTAGAATTGATGATGAGAAGACAGGTTTTTGAGACAGGAATCTGAACTGGAACAAAACTAGTTCGCAGTTGAGTTTTTAAGGCATATGACAGATAGGTAGAGGATTTTCAGGGATATTCTGAATTGATGCTTAGACTAGAGATTATATTTAAAATAGCATGATGCAAAACTTTTTGAATTTTCATATCTGTTGGTTTTATGAATCAGGTTTGAATTTCAATCACTCGCGTTTCACCAACTGAATTGGTGTATTCAGGAGATGAAGAAAAACTAATTCCTAACTCTGAAACCGATCTCTATTCATATATAACAGGGTACACTTTCTCTTTCATTTCCTGATACAATACAATGTTTTCGGGTAGGAATCTGTGAGAATTTTTTTCATGAAATTTTGTCATTTCGAGATTTCCGTAAGAATCCAAAAATTTAGTGTCGGGTACCAATCCAAATAATTTCAGAAAATTTTAATGTTTTACGTGACCGTTCTCCATGCTGAGCGACACTAGACTTTTCTGGTCTTTAAGATCAGGTATGTGTTCCCTGTTCTTTGTCCTTCCGTATCAACCACGGTAAACTAACGGATTAGACCGTATTTCTGAACAGTTGCACTGAAAGTAGCCTTCAAAACTTCTTTCTCACTTCAACAAAATTTAGGTAGGTTGGGTCTATTCGAGTGGGTCTATTCGACCCTCTACCGCAACACGCAAGGGTTTATTGTGACTCACACCTATTCACTCTCGACCAAATAAGCCCAGCTTCTTAACGAAGCCGATTAGTTTGTATGGTGAATGGTCTTTCAGGTCAAAATGTAAGAGTACAACTCTCTCAAACTCTGAAAATCTGATTCGGTTCCCAGCTGTTTTCATCATTTTCCAAACAGAGGCGACACACACTGTCTTCCGACAGTCCGAGTCTCTGCTTATGATGATTCGAATGACAGTGACCTGTGAGAAGGCCTGTTAGACATCTCAGTTCATCCCTACTGTAGTTCAACAACGGTTTGGTGTCAAGCTTCGAAGAGTGAATAAACGCTTTGGGGTGAGCCAATCCTAGAAGATTTTGCCAGAAGTCTATTCATTTTTTTGCCATCCAGGTGTTCAATATTTGTTTGGCAAAGCCTAAAGCGATGGTTCAGGTTCAATGAAGCTGCTTGTAGCACTCTCCTTTGCAAAGAAGTCAACAGTCTCATGCAGTCTTATTGCCTTTCAGCTCAATATGGCCAGGAAACCAGACTAGAGACAATCTGTTGAGTATTTCTATCGAAGAGAGTTGATTTTGGCAATTTGCCAATGTAGACGTTCCTCAGTAGGAGCCAAGAGTTTCCAACGCCGCTTAACTATCCGAGAATATTTTCATTGACTTATGTATGAGGCTGGATTCTTCCAATCTTTCCGCACACAATTCAATAGCGTTAATTTACGCTTGGAATACAGTCGCATAGGTTCCTAGGCAGGTTGATGTCTCTGCCCTGGGTCTGCGATTGAAAACATCTTCACCAGAACCTGAAGGTATTTTTAATACATCTGTGAACCATCAACTATCTGCTCTTTATTTCCTTCTTTCGGAGGATCCAGTCCTGTCTACTCGGGAACAGTACTTTATAAGGCAGTTCGTAGTTGACAGTTGGAGCCATAAACTCAGAAGTCATTTCCAGAATGCTGTGACTTCCAGTGTCAACCAGCAGTCTGTTGTACTCTGCATTGAATTGATTTGTGCAATTGCAATGTGCACAAGTCTATATACGTGGAGAGGAGGTAAATCTAGAAAGATCTCCATGGCCGCTGACGGTATGGTACTATTGGCACCACTGATGGTCATACAAGCCTTTTTTTATGAGTCAGAAAGCTTCGCATTAGCCGTTTTCTGTAAAGTCTTCGGTCGCCAGGCACTTGTTCCATAAGTAAGCATTGGTCTGACAATCATCACATAAATCCAATGGATTTGTTTGGGACCTTTCGACATGTTCATAGGGATAGACTGGCTTTGTATAAATCTTTTTCCAAGTAAGCGTTCCAGGTGAGATTTTTCATCAGAACAATGCCAAAGTGGCGTTCAATCATCTGAAAGAATTTTGGAAAAGGAAAAGTTGGAGTTGAGGACTGTGGCACATAATATATCGGTCAGACTAAGCAAGCCATTGAAACTCGCTTCAAAGAACACTCTGCACAAATCCGAGGCTAGTGTTGCTCGAGAACGGTTATATGATGGATGAGAACTATCTGAAATTATTGGGATCGATAAATGACACTAATTTTTCTTTATGCTTTGGAAATTCTGGAAATAAAGTGCGACATGAAAACTATGAACAGTGACCAAGTTCCCATTCCAAACAGTTCATTGTTCATCTTCATATGAATTGATCTGTTGAAATTACCGGGAAATTCCACAAGAACATTTCCTGCACATTTCTATCCGAAATCATTAAACTGTATGGTGGAAAACATGTTGCAATTTTGTGAACTGTAAAATCTAAGTAAAAATCCCATAATGAAGTGAATCATTTAATATATACCCAATCAGGATCGAGGAGGAGTTGTGTTAGTTTAAAATGAGTAATGAATTGAAGAAATGTTCAGATCGTTACACTTTTTTCGAAGGCCAAAGTAGCTTGACTGTTCTGAAATTTTATACTAGTTATTTGTACACTGGTGAAGTTATTTTTAATGAACTGAGGGTAACGACTGACAATTGTTTGATGAGTAAGTTCATTGGAATTTAACTGTTTATCGAACGTTTGTATTCAAAAGACTTCAAAAATAATATGAGGTATACCTTACCAGTAACTGAGAAATATTTCATAACCTGTAATGAATGCTTGTAAGACAATGACGAAAAAGAACAGTGATATCAACAGCAGTATATGAGATCCGCTTCTGAAATATTTCACATACAAACTACCAGATAACTTTCCTTTCTCTATTAGTTCTTGGGTTTCCTCTGGCTCATTCTCTTCGTTTTTTTCTTTCGATAACTTCTAGAAGTGATTTGAAAATTTGACTCCATATTTCAAAAATGCATTGTCTTACCTCGATAGATCCAGTGGAGTTCAGTCTTTTTCTCTCCAGCCCTTCTTCTGCTGTTTCATTATTCTTTTGTGTACCTTGTTCTTGAATATGATCGATAATATTGTCTGACAATTCATGAAACGTACCGATGGTTTCCACTTTGCCCTGAAACATATTTCAGTTCAAGAAGTGAATGTCATAAATAAGTGGAAAAATAATGAAAGCGGATTTGAGGAGCCTTAAATATTATCTTCAATTCGTGAGAAAAAACTTCTTGGCTATATATGGTTTCCCCTCTGCCAACTTTTTTCTACAACTATTTTTCTTCAACTATTATCTAATAAAAATATTTGATAACAAACAAATAATGAACAGAGGTTTGAAAACCAAGTATTAGTAATTGTAAGTGTTAGGTACAATATACACTTCTCACTCATTGGTGAGAATAGGATGTTGAGCAAGAATTAAAATATGCCTATTCGATCAAAATCGGCTATAGTTACAAGTACTACAATTGAACGTGCCATTATTTTTTGGTGAATTTTATTATTTCGGACTTCCATTGTCTACTATGATATGATTTGAAATCTCTGATGATGCCTGGATTATGATGCCTAGAATGGTTACTCCAAAGTGATGGTAGAACAGACTTTGGCTAAAAGACAGCAAAAGCAGTCGTCACAACCAGTACTTGCACTTTTCTACGTCAGAGGATTGTCGGAAAGGATAAGAAGAATTGTGTTCAAGTATAACTTCAGAATCTGCTTCAGATCCGGAAACACCATCCATTGCAATATCATGAAAATCAAGTCACCAAACGCGGATTGCGATTCCAAGAATTGCATTTACCGAATATCCTGTGAGTGCGGAAAATCCTACATCGGTGAAACTAAGAGGCCATTGAAAGTCCGCATTGCCGATCACAAAAAACACACATTCACAACAAGGATAAACCAGCAATAGCAGAGCATGTTTGGACTCATCAACATAACATCAAGTGGTCCCAAGCTGAAATTATCCACAGAAAGGAACACTGGTCTAGGAGAAAATTCAAAGAAGCTGCATATATGTTGTCCAACAGCGTATTCAGCCAAGCTAGCGTAACATATGGAAACCCATAATCAAGCGGAAAACAGTCAACTCCCCTTAAACCGATGAAGCGGATAGAGGGAAAAAGAATAGGTGAAATCACTCGAATGATCTATGAATAGTCATCTCTCGGAGAAATAAGGATCCATAAATCGAGTCTCTCATAAACGAGCATCCCGATTCATGTAGGTCTCTACTTTTGAATCTTTAATTTTGATAATCTCGGTACTTTCCACAATCTCCAGTCATCCTAGAGATTATAAATTTCATAGTTCATTCAACTACCTCCTTTTCCAGCTTACGTACAAATTTCCTATAAAACCTCGCTTTCAGATTACAAATGTATCAGTTAGTTTCATACTTGAGAATGGGATTGAACGAAAGTCCAATTACATTGGAAGTCCATTATATTGAAGCGACAGAAGACTAACAAATGCTTTTTCTTTGGGATCTGTCTTCATCTAGTTACCTTGCGGTAAGAACTGCAGTCAATGACACAAGACCAGTCTCATTTAGCGGTCCATGTTGAAGCTTGGCTTTGCGACGGAGTGCCTTGGAAAGCCTTATTGATCTTTGATATTCGTGGATTGAGGTTTTTTCCTATCCGATAGATGATGTCTTCGGGAAAAAAAATGTTATTGCCTCCACTTTTACACCGATGGCAAGACATCAATGGACAGCCGAAAGAATATCTACAAGAATACAACGAACATTCAACAAAAATTCTCTTCAAACTATTACAAGAAACAAGTGGGTGTGATGTAAAGATGGGAAGGGAAACGCAATTAGATCATGAGTCTGCAGTACCTTCCGGACAAATCAGACGTTTCCCAAGCAGCAGAAAAACTGAAGCTGAGTTCCTCTGTATTTCTGAAGTTTCGTTTTCTTTCCAGAGTGCAATTTGATTAACTTCATAAGAGGTTAACAAAAGTTGTTTGAAGAATAGGAAATGAGAAAATGGAGGTTTGACCAAAATCCATCATCCATAGTGTGTTTCCACTCTTTTGAGATAAAACCATTCAAGTTGGACCTTCTATATTCCCAACGATTACCTGAACTACTCTTGATGAATTTCCAGATGAAATATTGACAGAAATATTGACGGAAAAAAACAAAATTACCACAGAACATCTCTGAAAATAAGTAACTTGTATAGGAATGTAAGTTTTCATGGCTGGCGTCAATGCTTTGAATGGTTTCGGGGTTTTGCCGTGGTCTTCTTTGGTTATAATCTCCAAACGTTTCGACTGCAACTGCGGCAGACACCTTCAGTGGTGTGGTCGAAGTACTCTTCTTGAAGTGTCAACTGAAACTCTTGGAAATGTTTGGAGACTATAACCGAAGGAGACCATAGAAAACCTGGAAACCATCCAAAACATAACTAACTTGGCATCTTTAGAAGATGACTGATTAGTAACTTCACCTTCTGATGACGCCAACTTGGTGAATTGCATGTCGAAAAGAGTATTGCAATTCTGAAGCTTATGAAAAGTGCTTGCTTTGGATTATCTTCGTTATTCATTTGGACTTACATTATTAAGAACGATGATCACATCCGCTTGTTCCAAAAACTGGATCTGGTGAGTAACCAATAATCGCGTTTTTCCATCCAAAAACTTTTTGATACAATTTTCAAAAAGTTTTTTACCGACATGTGTATCCACGGCTGATATCGGATCATCAAATAAATATATATCTGCCTCAGCGTATACGGCTCGAGCTAAACTAATTCTGGCCCTTTGTCCTCCACTTAGGGATGTTCCTCTCTCCCCAACTATAGTTTTGTCTCCATATGGAAATTGTGCCAAATCTTCTGACAAAGCACACGCATTTATCACGTCATTGTACCTGAAAAAATATTGATTGAATATTACCTACCGAAACGTAAAGAAAATGCTAGAAATCCACAACGATTTGAACGGTATTCGTATAATAATGACCGTAATTACTTAATCATACACAAATTATTGACCCCTCTTCAAGTTATCTATCACAGCCAAGTTGTTTGATTCAATTGAGAACGATTTTTTTTGAAGACAAAACACGAGCATTACAGAAAAATCCTTAAGGAACTCTATAAGAGCGGTGCTTGTACGAGAGTAGCGATTCACATTGAATTTGATTCGCTGGAGATTAAACCTATTTGGAAAAACTTTCTCAGGAAGTTTATTCCACAAAAACTCAGTTTTTCAAATGAAATTCGAACCTCAAAATAATGAGTAATCACAGTCCGTCACGTATTTCTGATATGTACCGCTCTTGGTGGAATCAAATGTGTCAAGTCACTTCACAGTTTCCGTGAGAGTATCTATAGAAGAGAAATAAATCTCCAAACTTCCTTCGCTGTTCCAGACTAACAAGGTTGCAAGTAATATTCGCGTCTCCAATCAGGCGGATGGATCTTTTCTGGATGGAATCCAGAGAATTGAATATTTCCCAATTTTACACAAAGAAAATAATGGTTTCAAGTTAAATCATTTGGAAGTACTTGAAATCATAAATTTAAATATTCAAACATTTTACTGAATGACCAACTGAATTTGAAGAGAACACTATTGTTGAACTTGTTTTCTTGGAAACCAATAAAGTATTATTATTGATGTAGCATTGAATAACATGCTTCAGGTAATCATAATTAAGTAGGTAGCTTAGGTATATACAAGTTGAGTGGATACTTTAGACAATTATAATCGAATAAGCTGAACAGGTAGTATCAATTGTGATTACCTGGGATATATAAATATCAGAGTGAAGAATGAATTCTAAATACATTTTCTCTACGAAAAAGCTACTGTTTTAGTGGATCATATTGAATGATGTTTGTGGAAATAAAATTGAAGAGTGTAGTTTATGAAAAAATAATACATTCCGTCGAAATATTCCATCACATTTTGATTTTAAATTAGGATTCTCATTGATTTGACCGTTATTTGATAAAGATCCACAGTAATTTCATAAACTTCACCGGAAATAATTTGATCTTCACAAACTTTATTTTCAAAAATACCACATGTTTTGCTATCACTGTAGCTTTTTCGAAGTAAATGACATACTGAAAGTTAATTTCATTGTATACTCTAATTTTCATACACCCCATAAGTGAGAGATAGCCTTCGAGGTACTTTTTCGATCATAATTACCTAAAGCATCTACTCAACTTTCATATACCTCAGGTAGATCCTCAATTATGATTACTTAGAGTATATTATATCAATTCTACATCAATAATATCTCTATGAAGACTAGGACAATATCGGTTGCTAAGAAAACAATGTCAGTAACGGTGATCTATTTGATCCAGTTGATGATTCAGCAGAAATTTTGGGTTCATTGATTTCCATTGTTGCCAAATGATTTTTAGCTTCAAACCTATATTTTCTATGAGTGTTACTTTGGAAATCTCCGTTAAAGATATGATTTTATTTCAGAAAATGATTCGAATATGTTGAACTCGTTTTCTCATTTACATAGTTCATATGATGTTCCTGGATGCGATTCCTCAATGTTTTGCCAGTTTGAACAATATATACCTTAGGACAAGTTCCACAATTTAATTTGTATACTTCGATTTCTGGAATTTGTCTTTATTATTTCAAGCTAACTTTCCCTACGTATTACCTGTTCTATATGAGATTTTTATTCAAAAAAGAAACCACTTTTTCTGTTTTATTTTCTATGAGTGTTACTTTGGAAATCTCCGTTAAAGATATGATTTTATTTCAGAAGATGATTCGAATATGTTAAACTCGTTTTCTCATTTACATAGTTCATATGATGTTCCTGGATGCGATTCCTTGATGTTTTGCCAGTTTGAACAATATATACCTTAGGACAAGTTCCACAATTTAATTTGTATACTTCTGATTTCTGGAATTTGACTGTTTTGTCTTTATTATTTCAAGCTAACTTTTCCTACGTATTACCTGTTCTATATGAGATTTTTATTCAAAAAAGAAACCACTTTTTCTGTTGTTTGTTCAAAATATGTCGAAGCTTTATAATTTTGATTATCCTTTGATGCTCAAAGGACTATATTCTTGATAATGAATAACTCAACGGAAAAAGAATGTCTTACCGTTTTTCCTGAAACGTTTGTCCAAATAATATGTTATTTCTGATATTTGATACGAATATCCATGGTTCCTGGGAAGCATACGATATTCGTCCTTTCAAGTCCATATTTCCACTTTTCAAAGGCAATTCTTTGAGTATCATCTGTAGGAGAGAACTCTTTCCAGAACCAATATTCCCTGCAATACAACACAGGCTACCTGGTTTGATTTTCAAGTTTAAATCCATTAGTGTATCATTTCCTGGATCTGGCAACCAACTCGCGCTAGCATTCTCAATTGATATTATTCCTGTTTTTTCGTTATCTGTTATATTTTCTGTGGTTGATGCAACATTTTCTTCCAGGAGCAAAAAATCTTCATATCTCTTCATTGTCACCTTAGATTCTGAGTACACACCGAGAGCCATTGGAAACATTACGCACATATACATCTGGATGGAGTTTATCATTTGGATTAGGAAATAAACTACGTCACTGGTGGGTCGAATTCCTATGAGCAAGTTTATCATGATGGTGAGATATAGGTTCAAACGACCTATGATACTTGAAACGGTTGATATGGTTCCTTTGATATATAAACCTTTTCTAATATATTTAACTTCGTTTCTGAAAACAGAGAAATAACAGTTTTTGTTGCAGATAAAAATTAATATCCAATTCCAANTCGGTGCAATTTTCATGCACCCAGAACATGTAAATATTGCATTGTATCCATTCTTCTATCAGTTTTCTTATAATAATCATCACCACAACCTCTGCAGTTATCTTTCTCTCTGTCTCCAGTTTCACTTTCAGAGGTATCATTGAAAACGATGGAAATTTTTTCGCAGCTGCTATCAGACAACCTACGAATTACTTTTCATTTCTTAACAGTCTTTTTTCCTCAGGTTTAGCAGCCTTAGTGTTTGTTTTTATTATTTTTGGTTTTTTGGCTTTTGTTCCCTATTCACTTTTGGATTTTCTTTCATTTTCCGTTTTTCAATATGCTCTTCAGATGTCAAAAGAATGCTTACTTGTTTCGCTCGTTTGCGAACTTCGTGTAGTTTCACAGGCAGAAAACTGATTGGTTCTGCGCTGTATGTCCGATATTTTTTTCAACGGGTTGCTCAATGTTCTCACTGAAGGCGTACTCCGGAATAGCTCCTGGATTAAGAGGGAAAACTCCTGCTGTTCTAAATCCTGATATTGCATTTCCACTTGTCGCTGATTTTCTCCAGGCTTGGTACAATAAGAAGCCAAATTGTTGTCTTGTTAGACGACAACCAGGGTACTGTTTCATCCATAACCTGCAGGATTCATAGAAGTAAGTTTTGAGAGACTTGAAAACAGCAACATCCAGTGCCTGAAGGTAATGGGATGTGTGTGACGGCATTGAAAGTAAGATGATGTCATCATCATAATCAAAGCATTTTAACTGAATTGCAGTGTGTAGAATGACCGCCCAGCAAAAGGAGGGCTTTGCCATGTGGTTTTCGAGGCAAGAAATGAGATTTCATCCATTCCATAAATATGTCGGAGGTTATATAGGCGGATTTTTGTGACATATAAGCTACTGAACCTGGAGTTAGTCCATCTTCGAATTCAGGTTTCTTTCGTTGTCCTTTCATAATGCACGCCGGAGGCATAAAATTACCCTTAGCATTACAACAACCAATTTCCGTTATCGTTTCTCCTTTTTCTGTAGAGGTTGACATAGCTACAGCCTTGAAACCTTTTTCAGCCAAAACATGACCTGGTCGATTATTTAACTGCAACCCGGACTCGTCCATGTGTAATTATGTCCTGGTCTATTTATTAGGTCATTATCACTGAGAGTTTTCTCAAGCATTTTGAAATAGGCGTTTACCTCTGATTTATTCATCCCTTGACTTCTAGCGTATGACACTCCTTCCTCCTGATTTCCTCAATAAAATATCGGAATTTATTTTCAGAAACATTTTCACCGAATCATAGCCCGCCTTTTCAGATGTTTTACAGAATCTATGTTCAATTCCTAATTGCTCAGCAAACTTGAATGCGATTGTTCTTAAATCATTTATAGTCAAAGGAAAGTCTCTTGGTCCCATATGTCCTTTAGTGTTGTTATTTAGTTCCAACCTTCTTCCAAGTGTTTTTCTTGGTATTTTGTAAATAAAAGAGGCCCTATAAATCGTCATCCCTCGATTTTGTACTTCTTCCATATCATTTTTTAAATCTTTTTCGCTCCATTCACCTCGACCAGCAGCCACCTTCTATGCGTACTGATTCGGCATCTGTAGAAAATATTGAAGATTAAAAATAAATCAAAATTAGGACATGACATTTTATTGCTACTTCTCCCGTAAAAACTATGGCCATCTCTCCTAATTGTCCGGGTGAGATGGCCACATTAGGTAATTAGAGACATTTCTCAAGTTAGTGGGTAACACCGGTGAAGTATATTACTTCAGTGCCAAAGCATAACTTTCAAAATCTTTTTGTGATCACTCAATATGTTAACCCCAGTACTTAACTCGCATGCATAAAAAAAAAGTCAAATTACTCACCGTTTCATTATTTTTTTCGACAAAAAATGACAGTTGTTACCCGTGCCGTAATATTGTATACCTTTTCATCGGTGGAGGTAGCGGCTATAGATTTTTAAATATGTAAAAAAATACTATTGCATGGACATACTTGAGCGCGTCAGATAGTGATAGCATCAATGTCTTACGTATTTTCAATTATTTTCGTCGGCGTTTCATAGATATACTAATAATATGGATGAAATGACACACACATTAAAAAAACATACCAAGAATTGTATGTTATTGAACTGTCTGAAAGTTACTTCCTTGTATGATCTGCACGGGCCGAGCCGAGAGGATGAATGACACTGAGCCTCTCAGCTGTCTCCACGGAACCTTCGAGATAACGGGCGCTCTCTTGTCGTAGCATCGCCTTGTCACCGTAATGCGGGGCTCTACCATGATTGACCTTTTTTCCCTAGCTGATCGTGGAACTTTTATGGTCGGAGTAAACTTAAAAATTCATTCTGACGCTGAGTCTACAGAGGAGATGGATGTCGAACTTAAGACTCTCACTGACCTCCCTGCAAATTAAGATCAAGAGCGAGTCTACAGAGGAGATGGATGTCGAGCTCAGGACTCCAACTGACCTTCCTGTAAATTTAGATCAGGAGCGATAACTTCTTAACTCTCCAAATCTTGATCCAATGACTGAACCTAAAAAAAGAATTGGTGGTGCAGCCAGGAAACGACTGAATCGTCTCCTCAAGAGCAGGGTACCTTATGAAACCACTTGCACCAAATTCTTGAGCGGCGTACGCAGAATCTGTCTCAAATGGAGGAACAAACCACCATGAACAGGTTAGCAAACGTTTGCGCTCGAGTGATGATTCACCAAAAACAGAGGCGAAAAAACCCTGCACGGTTGAATCTAAGGCATCGTCAGGTGTAGCTGAGGTGCAAAAACCTTCATATGGGAAAATTGTCGCCGGTATCAAGGTGGAATCTTGCACCTTGACTCTCCGACTACCTCATTAATGATGAAATAGCAGAGCAGCATTATTCAGCCAAATGTTTGAGACGATGGGTTGTAATATTATCAAATTATAGATACAAAGTGGTATACGTTGAATGGGAACAAAATAACGCGGATTTTTTATCTCTATTGCCAGTCCAAAATGATGAAAAATTTGGAAATCTCTTGATGTATATGCATTATTTTTCAGAGAGTCAATTGATATCTACAAATTTCAATTCCATTAAAGAGTCTACAAAACTTGATGAGGTTTTACAAAACGTTATGAAATTTATGAAAAATGAGTGGCCAAAGTACTCGAAGAAAAATGTTAAATTCAAACAATTTTATATGATTCGAAATGAGTTGACAATTGAAAATGAAGTTTTATTGTGGAACACCAGAATTGTTATACCTGAAAGTTTGAGAGGACAATTGCTTGAGCAATTACATTTGTCACATCTTGGGATAGTAAAAATTAAAAAATTAAAAACAGAACTGTCAGTAAGCTAAGAAATGTCTTTTGATTTGCTTAATCTGGCAGTTGAATATATCTAGGACACGACTAACAGAATTAGAGGCATCGCACATTGTATAAATTGGAGATTTTTTCATTATATTTGTTCGCGGAGTGTTGAGATGAAAGGTGACACTATTTCTTGATGACCATCTAGTAAACCAAAAATTCAGCATGTGTAATAAGTGAGAGCAGGTAATGATATTGTTTATGACCATGAATAAAAAAAGAAATAAATAATATTTACGCCCCACCTCGAGACTACAAAAATACAAAAATTGTGAGTTGCAAGCAATTCATAATAGGGCATTCCTACAGTAGGTTATGTTAGATCCAAAGTGAGGGGGTGTATTCAACCCTCCACCGCAACCCACAAGAGTTTATTGTGACTCACACCTATTCACACTCGACCAAATAAACCCAGCTTCTTGATGAAACCGAGTAGTTTGTATGGTGAGTGGTTTTTAAGATCAGATGGTAAGAGTACGGCTTTGCCGAAATCTAAAAACCTGATTCGGTACTCAGCGGGGCAGGCACAAAGTATGTGCACTGCTGTTTCATTTTCCAAACAGAGGCGACACACACTGTCTTCCGACAGTCCGAGTCTTTGCATATGAATCCTACAGTAGAATACGCGCCTTTAAGTTTAAAAGACATATATTTTAGGAAGCGCCTCTGTAGGGCGTCTGGTTAATTTATATGAGCCTGATAGTGGGGACTTCACACAACAGATGCATATTCCAGCGTACATCGAACAAAAGTGAAATAAAGTAATTTCAATGTTGAAGCTTTTGAGGTCTTTTGTACTCCTAACTTAGAATTCGTACATGCGATAAGCAGCTGTCACAGTAGTGTCAATATATTTATTGAAAGAAAGAAATTAATCAAAAGTAACACCTAGATCAGTGAGTGTGTCAGGGCTCTACAGAACGTCATTGTTTATGACGTAGTTGCGTAATGTCAGATTCGTTTTCTTTGAGTAAGGCAATACATTACATTTGGATATGTTGAGATATAGATTTTGAAGTATTCATGAGATCAGTGTCACTATTTTTCAGGTTTGAGGGGCGTCGAAAAGTTTTATATTTTATAATAATCATAAGAATCATGAAATACAAATCAATTAACAGAATTCAGCTTATTGATAGAGAAAAAGAAAAGAAACACCTTGAAAGTGCTGCTTTGTTCCCTTGGTGCAATTGGGGACACGTGTGAATCGTTGTATGCATTCCACGTGCCACTATAAGGGTGTCTGCAATATGCTGTGTAATGCCTATTGTAAGTAGTCGCACTGTGATTCGAAAGTGCATTGTAACGACAAGGAGCCACATTATCTGCTGCATAATTGCTCATATCTAATCCTTCTAAAGAAATATTCAATAAGCCTCTGAATCTTTCCGTTGGAAAGAGTATTTTTAAATGAATTACTAAATTACGGGGAAACTTATGGACAACTCCCAGAAAAGATCGAAGGTTATTGATGAGTATCCACAGTGTGTGCACTCCATAGTAGATTTGAATTGACCAACGAAATTGTCTACAATCTTAGAGTTGTTCATGTGCAAGTATCTCAGCCAGAACTCTTGCGCTTTTCCGCTGTCGCTCAATGTTTCGTCAATCTCCGTTAAGATCGGTTTAGGTTTCTCAGTAATTTCATTAAGGTCCTCATGTAAACCTTCTAAAAGATATCGAAGGAACTCCTGGGCGTCTTGATGGGCAGGTCCCATGAATCAAGGGGCAAATCTTTGAATCTGAATTTTGAAGTTTTCAAATCATCGATATATACATTTCAATTAGACAAATGAAGCTGTGAAATCACAAACACCATCTACAGGAAAAAAACTGTACCTGTTGCTGGAAACTACAAATTTGTAATTGGAAGAACAGTACATCCATTTTATTCAAAGAAAGAAATACCGATTCTAGGCAAAATAATAAGAGCTTTGGAAGAAGACCAAATTATATACCCAAAGATGGCAGGAAGAAACTGTGGAAAATTTCAAATGAATTAAATTCCAGCTGAGAAGAACCAAAAATCTCTTTCAATCGAAAATGATGAAATTATTTGCTTGAGAAGACATTACCTGAGACAGATAAGAAATTTTCGACGTGGTAATAGAAAAAAATTATTATCTGGACAAAACCTGGCTGAACGAAGAATATACCGTTGAAAAGATGTGGTAAGACAAAAACATCATAAGTTTACGTCAACCATTTTTCGACGCTGGTTTACCGGATTGAAGTCGCCATCTGGAAAAGGAAAGCGACTGACCATTTCTCACATTGGATGGTTTTGATGAGGAAAGCTTATTGCTGTTCGACTCCATGAAGATATGAACAGCAATGGGTTTGAAGGATATCTCAAGCAAATGTTGGACCTCATTCCACCTGAATGAAGACAAGTAGATATTATTGAATAGCTTCGATGTAAAAACATACCATTTGATTAATGTTAAAAAAGTACTATTATTCATAGTATGTTCAAATGAAGCTCGTTTCACGAAATATGTAATCGACAAGATGGTACAGAAATTGAATTATTACATTGCATATGTACTTTCATCATTGCGAACGTAATCTCATTTGTTTGAGAAACCAGTTGGAAGAATGACAAAGACACCGTTCACCAGTTCACAGAAAACACACGCTGGTGGATACAAAAAAAAGATATTGATAGAGCAGTCAGACCAAATAATTCTAATAAGCAGATCCCTTTCTTTGGGTCAGCTTACTTATTCTGTACCTATTTACAAGAATACCGCCAGGAAAGGAACAAAAAAACATAAAATGAAAACAATTTTTCCGCCAATTCAAAAATTGTCCACGTGGCTTTGCTCGCCTATAGATCGCGAAGCCCATCTTTCCATTTCCCAATTCAGGTGTTCACCAGATACCCTACGGAGTGTGAGAACTCGTTTGGAAGAACATGAAAAGATCCTGCTATCTTCTACAAGTGTAAAAATCCGTAGTTGTTGAACATGCTGAAATATAATTCGATAGAACAGACATGTTTCACATCATAAGTCACTATTACACATGTCTGAACCGGAAAGCCATAGAGATTCATAAACATCAAAATTTCATCGGCGCCCGATCAAACCGGCAACGCCCAAGCGAATCGGAAGAGTCATCTTCACCATTTCTCCTCTACAAATATCACTGACCTACAGCATGAGTCATTTCTTATTTATTATTGTACCAATTTGCAAGTTTCCCATTCCAGTTCGTAGTTAATCTCTCCAAATGACGATGGATACCTAGCCCGAATAACTTCAGCTCACAAAAATACCTTGAGCATACTTTACCATGAAACTTGATTTAAGTCTTGTATTTTTGATACTCATCTCCATTATCAATGAAACCGATATCATTTCGTTATCAGATATATTTGGGATAAACACAAAAATAATAAAAAATACCATAGATTTGATAGTGGTCAAATCTATATAATAACTGTATTAATGCAGGTGTTTCTCCAGAAATTATCAAAAATAGTAAAGTTATCTCAATACACAAAACTGGTGATTTTGATCTTCCAGAAAATTTCAGACCTATTTCAACCTGTATCATGTTCGCAGATGACACCACTATCTTCCATCAAAATATAAACCAGACAATAATAAATGAAGCTACTGAAAAAAATGCCGAATGTTGGTTTGCAGCAAACAGTTTGAAACTCAATGCTAGCAAAACAAATCATATGACATTTTCTTCACAGGCAACAAGTACCAATGAACCTACAAAACTTTTAGGAATTTTTCTAGATCCTTCTCTGAATTGAACGTTTCACATCGAGAGACTCTGCTCCAAACTTTCAAGCTCCATTTTTACTCTGAGACAACTGAAAAATATAATGAGTTCTGACAAAATAATGAATATCTACTATGTTTTTTTTCACTATCATATTTCCTATGGGTTAATGCATCCGACTCTGTTAAAGTATTTAGGCTTTCTCTAGATATTGCTCTCTACAATAAATTACCATCCAGTTGGAAGATTCTAGATATAATTTTCTCCAAAAAAAATTAAAAAGATTTCTTTCAGGAAATGGGTTGGTTCTATTCAATTCGTGAGTATACCGACACACCTATTAGCGATACGCGTAGTTGTAGTAATACCTGAAATAGTTATGTTATTGATTCCATGTGGAGTTTAGATCTACAGGACCTCACAAATGTACATCTTTTTGGACCTGCTACACATATACATTGTATTTATATAGTTAATAAAGTTATTTATCTATCTATCTGATACAGTAGAACCTGCCTTGCAGTGGAATTGTGAATATTATCAATAATGTCAAACTCACATTCTTGATATCTCCACCATTTTCGCGAATGGTTTTTCCCATGCATACATTTTAATAGCCTGAATACCAGAAACAATTTCGTTCATCATTTTTACTCTGGAGTCCGTTTTTTGTGCTGTCTCCATCCTTAATTTTCCTTGTAACTTAGAAAAATACCCTGAAATATGGAAATTTATGAGTTTTAATCGTCATGAATGAAATCTTACACAGACGTATCAAATAAATGTTGTATGTTAAAAATACTAGGACAGAAATATTCGGATGAGTTAAAAAAAGTGAAAATGATTGTAAAAACAAAATGTGGTGATACAAAAAAATGAATTGAGAATATGAGTAGAAAAATTTCACTTACGCTGGAAAAAATAAAAATAAAAAAACACAAAAGAATGAAGAGAATTGGCAGTGAAAAAGAAGAAGATGACGATTTCAAACTATATGTTTGAAAATATGTGTTTTCGGTTAACCAGCTGTTGCACCCCTATGAACGACAACCCTCAGAAGTTGAACTTGTGCGAGCTAAGGAATAACGAGGTTTCACCTTTTAACGCGTGATTCCTAACACTATGCTTCTCGATTGCTACAAGCTTATATGAGTACTTGCTTATTTTTGTTACCAGAAGACTATTGATAGGTCAATTTGACTCGATTTTCCTCTCTTCGGATCACGCGTTTTTCCAGTTCAAGGTAGCAAGGTCCAATTCTCTGGCCAACTGAAGGTTTCTATCCATCGGATCCTCACACTGATCCAGTTGAATGTATTGTTCAATATGTAAGCAGCTACTTCAAACTCCGTTTCGAACTTGTGTTCGCCCTCAGGTATGATTTCAGGTTCATATCATTGCATGTTATATTGATGGCTCAAAACTTGTTCAGCTATTCTCGTTTTGTTAGTTTATTATCACTGAGTGCTCTTATTGGGCCCACCGATAAAGACCTTCAATGTTATTCTGGTTTCACTGACTTAAGGCTAACCGCATTCCCTTGTTATTCGTTAAATTCTCCAGTTGAGTCCCGTGTTTGGTGGTTCAGTTCTCGTAAAGCTGAATGTGTTACCCGGACCTGGGGTAACTTGTACTTAAATTAGATGCGCGTAGATTGTGAGAGGAGAAATGTACACAGGAAACGTTTTACCACAGTAAAAATCAACCAGTAAGTCCACTCCCACTACTTTCATTCATAAATTCACAAAGTTCTCGGTAACATCGAAACGAAGTGCGGAGCCAATTTCGTTCTTTTACCATAGGCGTAAGCTCATATAAAAACGGAATTTAATGATATTATAGAAGATTTTGTGGTGAGTTACTTTTTCCGTACTACAAAAACTGAAAACAATAATAACAACAGCGAATAAACTGAACATAATATCAATTTTCGACCATTTATTATAACTAATCCGATGGCCGTGGTACCGTCGAATCCTTCGATACTACAGCACTGAACGCGTTGGATGCGAATCTCTTTCCAAGAGCGGCTGGAGGTCCCCTGCCACTCGGGCGGATCACGTGGTAAGAGAGCCTACTGTGGCTTCAGATTGAAAAATTCAGGAGTGTAGTAGAAATAATTATTTGATTTAATATTCAAACCATCAAGTTCGAAACCACAACTTTCTAAGAAAATATTCAGCTCATTATTAGGTGATTCCAGTCCACAGAAACGAATGTACAGATACTAATACGAAACTTTTGTTTCAAAATGCTTCGAGCATGAATAACTTCTATTGGATTTGGTAGGTGGAAATTGAAAAGTATCCGTTAGAATCCGCGAAAAAATATCAACTCTGGTATCTTCAGGGAATAAGTGCTCTTGCGTTAAATTGCCAAAAGGTCACTTTGGTTTTCCAAATTTCATATTTATATGAATATACTGATTAGATTTCAATATTCAATATTCGGAAATGTGAAACTACATAAACCTTTTGGAAAAGAATTGAGATGAAAACGTGCCTTTTCCAGGTTTCTCAATTGCTTACCTCTGGTATCTAGAATGTCATAGGTTATAGGTATTTGCTTATCCATACATATACGCATTTATAGAACTTTATATACTTAGAGGATAATTAGCTTTATCGAAGTATACATAGACACATTCTCTGAAACACCCTCATCACACTGACTCACCAAACCATATCTATTGTATTTATGGAGTCATTATGAGAAACTGATTTTCATATACACAATATACGATACTACTCTCTTCACCTGCAAACACTATTTGCTTTTTTGCAAATCAATCATCCCAGTGCCAAAATTTCCATATTCGGTGACTTCAATGTCCACAATGTTGTTTGGCTCGAATTTTCAAATATTAACGACGAACAAGGTCGCCAAGCCGAGATTTTTGCAAAATACTCAGTTCATGAATGAGCCATTCCATTTGGATTCCAGGACATCGGCTGCGGATGCACATCTTCACCATCAGCAGAAGGTTACATATTTTAACGAGGGTCTAGAGGTGATTCTGAACTTTTTTGAAAATTACCAGGTTCAATTCAATGCCACGAAAACCCAGGCATCGGGTTTCTTCAAAGAAATAAATACCACCGAACCGGGCATAATAATGCCAGGACATACAATTTCGCTTTCTGCTTCGATACGTTTGTTGGTTGTTAAAATGGATACCAATATGCCTTGGCACAAATTATGTCGCTGGAATTGCAAAGGCTGCTTCTCAAAAGCTTGGAACACTGTTCCGATCCAGAAAACTGTACACACCTCAGCAAGTTTTGATGGTTCGTAAATCTCAGATCATACTTTCTTTGGAGTATTGTTCTCATGTATGGAATGCTGCCTTTAAGCATATCCTGAAGGTGCTGGATTCCATCCAGAAAAACGCCATCCGCCTAATTGGGGCGCGAACATCACTTGCAACCTTGATAGTCTGGAATATCGAAGAAAGGTTGGAGATATGTCTCTCTTCTATAGATACCTTGATTTCACCAGGAGCGGTATATATCCGAAATAGGCGACGAACTGTGGCTGCCCATCGTTTCGAGGTTCAACACCTCAGTACACCTCTAACTTCACTGTTCAAGAACTTTTCCATTTGGAGAACTGCGTTTATGTGTGATAAACTTCCTGAGAACGTTTTTCGAAACGAAATAAATCTGCAGAAATTCAAATCCAACGTGAATCCCCACTTCACCACAGGCACCGCTCTTTGTGCGTCTTGAGGATTTTCCTGAAGTGTTTGTGTTTCTATCAGTACGATGAAAGATTATGAGAGTGCTTGACAAAGAAATAAAATCACATTCTGAAGTTCATTTGAGGAAAACACGCTAAGGTTGAAAATTCTTTGGAAGATTTCCAAATAGTATTCAATTGCTCTACTTACCTTGAAGTGGAATAGCCTGTACTGATATTAATACCATAACAATTATGGAAGCAACTCCCGCTCTATCTATTATTACGTAAAAAGATACTACGAATGATATAGGCATGATCCAAATATAGTGAAGAAATAAAGCTGCCCACAAAATTCTCTCGGAATCATTTGATAGCAAGTTCACCACCTGGCCAGCTGCTGTCTGTCCCAATGAAGTTCGACTCAGCCTGAGCATCTGAAAATGAAAACTTACGTTGAAAAACTATTATAATCAAAGTTAAAAAATTTGTAAAAAGCAAAAGCAACAATCAAAACCATCCATTTTTACAAAATACCAATGGAAAGTAAAACGGCGTGCCACGCCATTTTACTTTTTATTAATATTCCTTTGAAATGAGCTGGATTATTTTGTTTGTTGAATTTCAGTGATAAGATGAATTGATTGTTGATACTTTTTATTCGGCGCTGACGTCGGACGTATTTTTGTGGAACTACATAACTGCATATATGTATGGCGTTGGTCATAGTACGGTAATAATCCGTTCGACCGTAACGATGAATAAAAATTATCAACAATCAATTTAATTCATGTATCACCTATATGCAGCAGTGAAAACAATTCATTTTAAAAAAATACCAATAGAAAGTAAAACGGCATGCCACGCCGTTTTACTTTTTCTTAATATTCCTCTGAAATGAGCTGTTTGTTGAATTTCAGTGATACATGAATTAAATTGATTGTTGATAGTTTTTATTCGGCGCCACGGTTGAACGGCGTTTTGTCGTACTATAAATGAACTAGCATGTTGCCATATGTAACACTTGAAGTTCTTGATAAATCCGCTCGATACCAGCGCCGGATTAAAATTATCAACAATCGTTTTAAATGTATCTTTCAAATACAAAGTCGAAATTATATGCGGAATTGAAACGTTTGTTGAATTTACTCGAATAATACATTCCATTGATTGTTGAATAAAAATGTTTGTCCATTGCTGAGTTGAACTATATGTACATAGATTATTTTTCAGCATAATATATAGTAAATTGGCGTTCCATTTTCCAATACTCTGAAACAATATTTTTCTTCGGAATCAATAAAAGCTTCAAGTTATTTCACTATTCTTTTTTATTCAAATGACAATTTTATTCATGTAACATTTTGAATCAAGTGTCATTTAAAATAGAACAAATTTTGTGAACAATCGTTTATAATGTGTCGGACAAATGCATGAGTCAATTAAATTCAAACAAATAAATTGTTGGGTGAATAAAATGGAGATCGAGTATTTGTGACAATAAAAAGGAAAACGGCGTTCCATAGATATACTAATAATATGGATGAAATAACACACACATTAAAAAACTAAAAAAGAAAAACAAAAAACATACCAAGAATTGTATGTTATTGAACTGTCTGAAAGTTACTTCTTTGTATGATCTGCACATCTTTGTGAAGAGTATATTTAGAAATTGGCGGGTTGGCTGTCTCTGTTCATCTTTCACTGCCTGAACCACTGTGCATGCTGTTTTTGGCGAGTGCATTGGCTTGGGATGTGGGGGTTGAATAAACCGGCCATTGGATGTCTGCTTCCACGTAGCCCCGCTAGATACGGGAATGACAGAATCACTTGTGGTAACCGTTATTCCCTAACTCCTAACTGAATGGTATCCCAACGAGTCTTAATCCTAAGGTGTGTGTATCCGAGCCGAGAGGATGAATGACACTGAGCCTCTCAGCTGTCTCTACGGAACCTTCGAGATAACGGGCGCTCTCTTATCGTAGCATCGCCTTGTCACCGTAATGCGGGGCTCTACCATGATTGCCCTTTTTTCCCTAGCTAATCGTGGAACTTTTATGGTCGGAGTGAACTTAAAAATTCATTCTGACGCTGAGTCTACAGAGGAGATGGATGTCGAACTTAAGACTCTCACTGACCTCCCTGCAAATTTAGATCAAGAGCGAGTCTACAGAGGAGATGGATGTCGAGCTCAGGACTCCAACTGACCTTCCTGTAAATTTAGATCAGGAGCGATAACTTCTCAACTCTCCAAATCTTGATCCAATGACTGAACCTAAAAAAAGAATTGGTGGTGCAGCCAGGAAACGACTGAATCGTCTCCTCAAGAGCAGGGTACCTTATGAAACCACTTGCACCAAATTCTTGAGCGGCGTACGCAGAATCTGTCTCAAATGGAGGAACAAACCACCATGAACATAGTGCTGAATTTCAGCAATTTTTACAAAAATATAATATTGAACACATTACACCATCACCATTCGTTCCACAGTCGAATGGCGCAGCCGAAAATACCGTCAAAATTATAAAGAATGCGCTGAAGAATTCTCTGGGACGAAATAAAAATATTGACATAAACATCGCATTGAATAATTTTCAATTTGATTACAGGAATTGTATTCATAGTACAACAGGAGTCTCACCCTCAAAATTGATGTTCGGGCGTGATTTGAAAACCAGATTCAGTAGTTTGAAACCCGACTGGAAACTAGAAATTCAAAAGAGGATTTTTGATAGACAACGAAAGCAAATAGAAAATTTCGGGGGGAAGATCGATAGGAAATTTGTTATTGGCGAGAAAGTCATTGTAGAAGATTACCGTGAAATTAATAAATATACTTGGACACCTGCAATAGTTGAAAAAGTTATTGGTAAGTGTACCTATATTGTTAGAATTCCTGAAATCGGTAAATTATGGAAACGTCACACTGACCAAATTAGAAAATGCAAATTACAAAGTGGTTTGCGAGATTGTAGGGTTTCCACCGAGAATAGGAATCGAGAGAAAACTGATTTGAATAATGACCTGCTCGTACATGGAGAATTGAATGTTTCAAACAATTCACCTATTGATATACAACCTGATGTGAGTTGACCAAAAAGAAATAGAAAACCATCAGAGCGTTTGAACTATGAATGAATTGTTATTGTGTTTTTGAAATTACTAGTATTTTTGAACTGAAAAGGTACCTATAGAATTAGTAATATTATTTTCGAATTTATTTTTTATCTTTTAAGTTTTGATTTGATGGCGGAAGATGTGATGTACTGCTATTGAAAATGTATTTAATCACCCGGTATATCCATATTATTTATTTCAGTAAAAAATACCGACGTTTTTTATGTTTTGCTACCATTGTTTTTATATTGTATGCCAATTGGAAACGTTTTGAGTGAATAAAGGACCCTAATATTTTACCTGCAACTGAATAATTTCACCCAGTCATTTCCAATACATAACAATATACTTTGTGCCTGCCCCGCTGGGGACCGAATCAGTCTTTTAGAGTTCGGCAGAGCCGTACTCTTACCATCTGACCTGAAAGACCACCCCCATACAAACTAATCAGCTTCGTCAAGAAGCTGGGTTTATTTGGTCGAGTGTGAATAGGTGTGAGCCACAATAAACCCTTGCGGGTTGCGGTGGAGGGTTGAATAGACCCACTCACTTTTTCGAAAACTACGCAATTGGTGTAAAAAGGTTACCTATACAAAAATATAGAGAATACTATTTCCTACATTTTATTTTTAAAAAGTTTTTTTCTACAGTCAACCGTTATGCCATGGGAGAACGCTAAAAGTGGGAGAAAAACACCAAAATTCCTAAAATCCGGATTTTTGGCGATTTGACGCGAGGGTGAAAAACAGAAAACTGCAAAAATCGGAGTTTCGGTGGTTTGACGCGAGAGTCGTCATCTATACCCAGCCAACGTAATTATTTGACGTTGAAACATACTCGTACCTATGTGTACTTCGGTAAATCATAGCTATACATAAATATATGTGAAAGTATTTTGAAAAAGAATGAAAGAGTGAGTATAAAGAAAAAAAGTGCAATTCAGCTTCAAATAATATATTGATTATAAAAACATGGAATCGTTTATATGTACGAAATGAATTTTGTGTATGATAATAGTAATATGAACGCTCAAATTGTCATCATTTTCATCCTTCAATCTTCGAATTCATCTTCGAATGGGTTAGTGAGGACTTTGAGAACTGTAGAAGGTTTAGAAAGTTGTGACTGTCAAAATACTGTTTCTCTGCAATACTCAAATTATTGTACCTTCGATTTCCTTACGTCCTCAACCTTTTCGAGGGCCGTTCACTAGGATCTGGATCATCTTCATCTGTTAAAAAAAAAATAAAATCGTAGAATCAGTGGAGGGAGTTTAATTTCAATAACAGATTAAGTAGTATCAAGATATTGCAAGCATTTACCTTTTGAGTTTTCTCCTTGTGGAATGTCCAACGGCAACAAATCGTCCATCTCAGACTCGGCTTCCTTCTTGTCCTGCTCCTCCTCTTGCACTGTTTCAATGTTATTGCAGGTGCCCTCACAATTTACGCATAAGGAGGAGCACGATAGACCTGTCTTCCTGCAATCACAATTTCGCTGGCAATTTGTGGTGCACTTGCACGAAATCAGCTTTAGAAGCGCAGGGGGAGCTGGGGGAGCAAGCGTGATTACTGGCCTAATCCTGAGATCACTTTTTTCCAACTACACTCATCAGAGTCTTTTTCCACACCAAGCCAGTGCTGAACCTTTTGGTAGACCGTGAAAGGATGGTCCCTCGCTGCAGCAGCACTAGGTGGTAAAGCTGCTACGTTTGAGCTGAGCGTGAACGCTGCCTTGCTGAAGGAGATGAACCTCAGCTGGTTGGGTGTGGGTGTGGTTTTCTCTATGTAAACGTACCGGGAAACCAGAAAACGTTCTCTTGCGGCGAAAACGGCTTCTTGGGGTTTATGAAGATGTTGATCACGTTGCCGAGGCTGGGGTTCTTCACAAGAGTATTTAAAAATTTCATCTTCTCTTGCCTGAAGAGGGCACACGTCGTACCGCACCCGCTCATCGCGTGTAAAAAGAGGATGTGGTCTTAAACTGGGGATGCGCAAGCTTATAGCGGATAATACAAAGCTGTCTCCTTTCCAGGTTTCAGAAAGAAAACGTTGTTGACCTGGGTGAGTCCAATCAAAATGACCAAGAGCTCAACATCGTACCCTACAACAACCACTGTCTCGTTAGAGGGAGCCAAAGACAGTGATGTGGTGACAATGAGCGTGTCAGCATCTTCTTTTGCCTGTTTGTACTACAATCCAGCAGATGCAAATATCGACGAAAGCATTGCTATGAGCCGATTTTTGTTCCTTGGATTTGATAGGAATTTATCTGTTGACGTAGTAGGTATCATTGTTTCGTCACGAGCATGTCAGCAGAATCATGCGCCCTCGTCCTCCTCAGGCGCTCAGCTGTCTTGGTGCCACTACAGTCAACCTCGGGGAAGCCATCGAAGACGACTATTGCCCCTGGATATTTAGTAACCAAGTACTGGCTTTGCCTGTCACATATCGCAGCAAAAGGAGCATTTGTTGGCCATACGACTCGGTGAATTAGAAAACCCCTATCACTGACATATTACACTTGGCCAGTGTACTGCTTGTTGGTGATGGATTTCAGGCCATTGTACAAAGTGGACTTTGTCCCTTTTCTCATGCATCCCTGGTCAGACAGGGACAAAGAGTAGGGCCCAAGATCTTACGTCAAAAAGTTTTGAAGGCCCTTGGTGGAATGCTTGGCGACAGAAATGCGCTGGAACAAAGTAGTGGGACTCACTGGGACCAGTTTTTTGTCTACGCGTACTGCACTTCTCATGACTGCTAGCGGTTTGACTCGGTCATTCCTTCAATATTGCATTCCCGTGTCAAATCGCCGAATATACTGATTTTTGGAGTTTTGAGGGTTTTCCCGTTTAGCGTTCTCCCATGGCTTAATGGTTGACCGTAGGAAAAACTTCAATAGCATAAAATGTAGGAAATTTTATCTTCTTTTTTTGTATTGATGATCTTTCTACAAAAAATGTGTAATTTTCGAGTTATTCGCAAAAAACCAAAACGAAGTCGATTTTTTCACAATTTTTGCAAAAAAAAAAACATATTTCCCGTGAAAAATTTTGTTGGCATACCTCAGATTCGTGTTCAACAGCCCAAAATACCATATAGAACCAACTTTCAAAACTCTTGCAAAACTTCCCGCCAACTGCCCTTTTTTGACACAAGCTGCCTAGAGTATTAGGTATTTTTTGAACAGATAGCACAAAACACTTGTTCGGTATTCTAAAAAAAATATATATAAAAATCTGTTTAAAATCTATTTTTCTGGGAACCAGCTGTCACACTCCTACGAACGACAANCTACAAAATAACATATATCATTTAATTGAAGATTAATTTCCACAAAATAAATAAGTCATCAATATCACAAATTTATATGGAAGTAGTTGTTTCCAAAAGACTTATTTTTCCAGTTTGTGTCTGGAAGTTACTGCTTTGCATGATATACACATTTTTGTGATAACATGATTGCTTCTTTGCTTCATTTGGAAGATTCTCACATTTTTTGTGTGAAGACAGAGAAGTAGAAAGCCAAAATCTTTCCCAAACATTAATCTCTCCTGAAAATATACCCTTTCAATTTGAGTATGTACTATGTTAACATAATCTTCAGTTAAATCCTCACAACTCTTTCATTAAGTGTTCTCTAGTCATGAAAGATCGTTTTTTCAAATGAATCAGAAAAATGTTCTTAGAATCAACCATTAACAGAGTATTATTGATAAGGTACCGTAACTGTGAACCAAGAAGTCTGCAATTTTTAGACATCATTTGAAATTTTCAAACGTTGTTTTTTTCCTGAGCATGGCTTCTTCTGGAGGTTATCCTGGTGCTGTTACTGGTGTGGAGAAAAGTTAATGCCTTTCATGGTTTTCATTTGAATTTCGGACTGGTGTTTTATTGAAGATAATAAATTGATTACACAATCATATACTTACTTTCCTATAAATCAATGAACAGCAAGCTACTTTGACCCTGGATCCCACTCTAGAACAGGAGAAAAGCGAAAAATTGAATATAGTCGAGCTCATGAAAGCAGGTATAACTACGCTTGTCCCAAGTATCCAACCAGCGTATTCATAGTTTATCCGCCACAGTCCTATGTTATAGAATTCTTCTCTTGTTGTATGGTATCTGATATATTCTGATATCAGAATGGGCTGGAGATTTCTATGGATTAAAAAAAGGGTTTGATGTATAAGTTTGATAATGTCCTTATAGGACGAAACTGCAGTAACATTAGTTACAAATGAAAGTGGTGAAAAACATAGAAAGTTTCAATTCTCTTTTCTTCATTATGATTTCCTACTACGTAGTAACGGTTACATCCATCAATTTATTGAATAAAAAAAGGTTTGGAAGACAGGATTGAAACGTGAATTTGATATAAGGATATTATTTTCCCCACATACCAGAACTGCTGTAACTCTTTCAATGTAAATTTAAGTGGTTCAGTATCAAAACATTTCTGTAGGCTGTATCTAGGTGAGTTATAAACGTACTATGAAAATGATTCTTTCGAAATATTAATCTCTCCCAACGTCCCTACATAGTAGAAATGTAGAAAATGCCTGCCAGAAAATAACTACTTCTCTGGCTTATACCATTATAGATATTAAATTATATCCAATTGATATATGTGAAAGATGGGGCTAATTAATTGAAAAGGGCATTTTTGGGATGGATCAGTAACTTTTTTTGTGAGGTTTTTTTGAGTCGCAGATGTATGCCAATAAGCTCCACCCATTCTATACATGATGGCATCAATAGGTTTTCCTATTGAGGTGAGAGTAGATTTCAATGAAATTTTATTGACAGAAATTATATTCACTATTTCATAAAATATTGCTCACCTCAATACAATTACATGAAAAAATATCAACAACCCATATACTGCATATGATTTCCAGAAAGTTTTAAAAATTGCTCGACTGAGGCTTGGTCTCACATTGCTTTTTTTTGCTCTTTCCATTTCGTCTTCCCATGCTCTAAAAATTTGGTAAGTTCTAGAAATTTTCTCAAGTGCGACCTATACTTTACCTCTCCAAGCGATCTGCTGAAGGTCCGGCTTTGTCAGATTCGATGGTGTTGTAAACATCTTTGATTTCAATGTCTCTTGAATTGGAATATTTGAAAAAGGGCAAAATCCAGCTGAAAATGAATATATTAAATTCATATAATTTGATAAGCTTTCTGAATAATAATGTATTCAACAGTGAGTCCAGCATAATATGGAATTTTTGTTATGAATAGCATCACTTATCATCATTTTGGCATCAATTTTGCTTCGATCAA